ACCAATTTTTCGCCAACAAAGTTCTCATCTGCGGTAGTTGTAGTAAAACACTTGCAACCTTTTTTTTTTCCCAGATATTTTGTGAACGTAACTTTACTCCCTTCTTCTCTTTCACTTTAGTAAAGATATCAAGTATGTCCGAGGCGGATCCCAGCTCACATTTTTAATCCATAATGAGGCATCTGTATGAAAAAAAAAAAAAGATTAGGGATGTTAGATTCTTGCAAAAGCAAGCATCGGGTGTAATTTGAAAATAAGCAGAAATTCCGAGTAAATAACAAATACCTGTAATTATCGGGATACAACGGTAAATATCTAGAGATATATGTTGATAGTGTGAATAACTGAATCATCGGGTAAATTTGTAAATGATTACAAGTTACAGAACAGTAGTTAATAACCAAAAGTATCGGGTATACGTTTAAATTAATTAGCTTGAAGTAACAGGCACAATTATAAATAAGCATAAATTCCGGGTATATATGTAAATGACCGGGGTCCAATTGTATATAACTAGAAGTAAGTGGTATCGTGTAAAATAACTGGAAATATCGTTTGTCGTCATACTCATAAATATGGTATAGCAAACTAAATTAAATTTAGAAGGTATTTAAAATCATGCGCATGAATACGATAGAAGGATTAAAATAAACTTTATGTTCTTGACTGATACAGTAGTGGGGCTACTACTAACTAAATAACACTGCGTGGAAGAAGTCAAACTTGCTGCCAAATGCCAATAACCCAATAGAGAAGAAAAGTCAAAAGTCAAAGGAAGACAGAAGCAACTCAGTTGTTTCTCTCCTTCCCCAATCAATCCATCGCTCTCCTTCACAACTCTCTCTGACTCTCTCTCAGAGTAACCAAACTCAATCAATCTTATCATTTCCGAATCCACACATCCACTCTCAGGTACTTACTTGCTCCCCTCTTTTATCTCTCTCCGATCTCACTTTGTTTCCAGACTCGGGCAACGAAAATTCTTGTCTTCAACTTCTCTCTCTCTCAGGTCCTGTTTTTCTCATATTCCAACTTCGCGATCATTAGATTCCAGTCTTTGGGGTTTGTTCCTGCTCAAACACCAGTTGTGGATCCTGCTTTCGATCTGAAAGTCAAACTCTTTCCGTCCCCCAACGTCCATGTTTCTTGGATTATTCTCCAAAACCAAAACCATGGAAGACAACTCAAATTCCAGCAGGAACAGAACCAACACTCCACCTCTTCCACAGATCCGAACCGACATAGGTTCCTTATACTCAGCCGATCTCACTTCCTACAACACAGCCTGCAGAGAAGATCCAGACTTACAATCCTTCGATTCCTCTCTTCACCAACGCACCAACCGAGTCATCAACTCGCTCGCCTCGGGTGCCGAAACTCGCTCCTTATCCTTTGACGCCCTCATCGAAGTCTCGGGCTGTCTCCTCGAGATGAACCACGAGGTGGTCCGGTTTATCATCGAAAGCAAAGAAGACGTTTGGGACAACAAAGACTTGACTTGCTTGGTCAATGCTTACTTCGACAGTAGCATCAAGACCTTAGATTTCTGCAATGCCGTTGATCATTGTGTGAAACGAGCGAGGATTGGTCAAATGATCATTCAGTTCGCGGTTAAGCAATTTGAGATCGAACCATCATCATCATCACAAGGGAATAAACCGGGTGAGAATAAGTACGCGAAAACTCTGGAAGAGCTTAACAAGTTTAAAGCTTCTGGTAACCCGTTTGATGGAGATTTCTTCATGCTGTTCGAGTCTGTTTACGAGCAGCAGGTTCTGCTTTTGGAGATACTTCATAAGCAGAAGAGGAAGCTTGATAAGAAGCTCAAGAACATCAAGCATTGGAAGAAGATTTCGAATGTGGTTTTCGTGACTGCCTTCGTCTCTGTTTTGATCTTCTCTGTGGTTGCAGCTGCTATAGCTGCACCGCCCGTTGTGACCGCGGTTGCAGCTGCGTTGGCGGTTCCGATCGGCTCTGTAGGGAAATGGTGTAATCATCTTTGGAAGAAGTATGAGACCGCTGTGAAAGGACAGAAAGATATTGTCTTGTCGATGAGGATTGGTGCTTACGTGACTATGAAGGATATGGACAACATTAGAGTCCATGTGGAGAAGCTGAAGATTGAGATGGAAGCAATGATGCAGAGAGTTGATTTTGCGATCAAGGAGGGAGATGAAGAGGTGGCTGTGAGGCTTTCGATTCAAGAGATGAGCAAGAAGTTTGATGTTTTCACAGAGAGAATCGAGGAAGTTGGTGAGAACGCAACCAAGTGTAGCAAAAACATCACATTGGCGAGAACTATTGTTTTGAGGCACATTCTTAGCTTTCCCTCAAGTTCAGATTCAGGGCAAGGAAACTTGTAAGTCTTGGTTTTTTGTTGGGTTTGTGTAAAGTTTGAATCTTTTAGGCTCACTTTTAATGACATTTGTTTTGGACAGGATTGAGGCAATCACATTGTGAGAAGATAAACCATATAAACCGGTGGTTTTTGAGAAGAGGTTTTGTTGGTAATGTGACAGATAAAGTAAATAGCTTATATATGGTCTGTGTAGTTGTGTACCAGCTCCTGTATACATTTGTATTCTGTTTAGCAGATAGCTTCTCAACATTATGTATTATTACACACAATTGGAAATAAAACACAAAGTCGATTTTGATGTTTACTGTTTGATATCTTCGAGAGTTGTGGAAAACATGTTTCCTCGAGGGGATACAAATTAGAAACTTGAGTAAGCCAGCATGGGAAGTTTTGTTTTGAAGACATTTCTTCAGGGGACCTTTGTATTTTTTTGGCCAATGATAATCTTCCTATGTGGAAATAAAAGCTCAAAACTCCATTATTGCTGTATTACTCATATGATTATCATATAGAGTAACGTCTTTACTCGTTACATTGATGGTTTGATGTGACAAATCAACTAACTCAACAAAAATCTCCCAAAAAATACTAAAAAATGTCTTACGACAGCTTGTTCCACATAAACTTATTATATAAAAAGACCAAATCATATGAGGTGTCCAATTTCGAGATTGACTAACTATTGATTTTGGCGGAGTGAAATCTCTAGAACAATAGGCTATATATACTAGTCAAGACACAAGTAAGCTCTTCCTGTCTTGTATTTGAGATTTCAAAAGCTATCTAATCAGATTCTTATCAAAGTTCAGGTAAATTTCTGTTTCTCTTACATTCAACTCCATGTGATCTTGATCTGTTTACTTTCCTCGTTTCTTTATGCTTGTCCTAATTCTCTGCTTTTTCTTTTAAACCAAATTTTTTTATTCTTTAAGGTCAGAGTATAAGCTCCAGAAGTAATATCAATGGTGTTCTGTGGATTCTTTACGGAGCTCATGAAAGTAAAATCCAGTTCTGACAGAAACGGAACAAATGGAGCCAAAACGGTCCGAACAGATATGAGGTCCAAATACTCAGCAGACCTGACTTCTTACACATCCGCTTGTCAACAAGACTCCGACCTCAAATCCTTTGATTCTTCGCTTCACAAGCGAACCAACAGAGTCATCAAGTCGCTCGCTGCTCGAGCCGAGACTCAGTCTCTATCTCTAGACTCACTCATGGAGGTGTACGGGTTTCTTCTTGAACTAAACCAAGATGCGGTAAGAGTCATCATCGAAAGCAGAGAAGATGTGTGGAAGAACAAAGATCTCAAGTCTCTCGTTGATGTCTACTTCAAAAGCACTACCAGGACCTTAGAGTTCTGCAATACCGTCGAGAATTGCGTCAAGAGAACTGAGATTAGCCAACTTCTCATCCGACTCGCGGTGAAAAAGTTTGAAACAGAGTCACTGGACACGGATCTTGGAGGAAGTAAGACTAAGAAGAAGAAGAAGTATGCGAAGACGTTGGAGGAGCTGAACAAGTTTAAAGCCATGGGAGACCCATTTGATGGAGAGTTCGTGAGTCAGTACGAGTCGGTGTACGAGCAGCAGGTTCTGCTTCTGGAGGAGTTGCGTAAGCAGAAAGTAAAGCTTGACAAGAAACAGAGGAATGTAAAAGCATGGAGGAGATTGTCGAACGTGGTGTTCGTGATAGCGTTCGTCTCTGTTCTGGTGTTATCGGTGGTTGCGGCCTCGGTGGGAGCACCGCCGGTGGTGAGTGCGGTCGCGTCTGGATTGACCGCGCCGGTTGATTTGGCGGGGAGGTGGTGTAGCGAAATGTGGAAGGAGTACGAGAAGGCGGTGAAGAGACAGAGAGGCCTGGTTTTGTCGATGGAGATCCGTACGACGGTTATAAATGAATCGATGGAGACGATAAGGATCCTAGTGGAGAACCTGAGAATCAGGATCTCGTTGATACTGGAGACGGTGGAGATCGCTGTGGAGAGGGAAGGAGAGGAAGAGGAAGAGGAGATGAGACTTGCGATGCAGAAAATAAGGGAGAAGATCGATGGGTTCACTGAGAAGATCGAGCAAGTCGGCGAAAGTGCGGCTAAGTGTAGCAAATTCATCGCTTTGGGGAGACTTCTTGTTCTTGAACACATCCTCAAGTTACCCGCCACTTCTGCTGTTTCATAATAATAGCAAGGAACTATGGGCTTTTTATATTGGGCTTTTTCGGCCCACAGTGGTTTTCTTCTATGATCCCATTTTTAAGACTGAACTACGTATGGCCCAAAACAAATAAAGTTGCGTTTACATGCTTCTTCGTTTCTCTATTATTTTTTTGGTCGTTTTTGCAATCAAATACGATATTTTAAAAATTCGGTTGCGTCGTAAATTGAAAAAGATTTAAAATTTAACGGTCAAGAAAAGGGGAGTGGTAGGAAGAAGAAGAATAAAAACAGTAAAGTTAGTTCAACTGGGGAAGGTAGCTTCGTAAAAAGGATCAATGATATTTTATTGCAAAAAAGACCAAAAAAACGACCCCACGAGAAATTAAGTAGTTGGAGCCTCGTGAGTTTGGTAACAAAAGAAACAAACCCTCCTTAGATATCAACTCCCCAACACTCTCTCACACAGTCACTGATCGATTCCAAACTCTCTTTTGCATTTACGTGGCCATTCGTTTACGTGTGTCCTCACACATTTATGATCTACTCAACCTCCTAACTCCCACCTTTTTACGTGTTTCGTTTTTTTCATTTGACATTTTATATTCTCGAAACGTAGATCGGATTCTTCTCTAACTTATTGGCACGACAGTTTTACGTTAAAGTGGCAATAAATGACGATTTTAGATGAGTAATGCCCTTTGATTCTAAAGCATAATCTAGTTTGTAATTATACGTAAAGTCTCTCCTAAAAACAATATTAATTATTCACATTCACATTGTTACGCAACATAAATCATTGTCTTCCACTAAGAATTTTTCTAAAGATGTGACAACTGCACTGCAGATTCTCGAACAATACGTTGCTCTGTATTAAGAATCAGTCTCTCGTGTCTTCGTAATCCAGTACTGGAATATTCCTCGTTGGCTTACTATTTGAAAAAGAACTCTATCTAGCAAGTAGCAAAACCCACCCAATTTTGTTTTTTAAATAACAGAAAAATACAGAGATGATGCTTGCACTTATCTAAATCTACGTGTTATGATTTATGTAAACCGCATTTTAAAAGATAATACAGTTTTAGAGCATTGACAATTTAATTTATTTAGGAAAAATGTATGGTTGTATTGTAGTAGAGCGAATTAGTATGAGAGAACAATTTTAGTAATATTAACTGCTAAAATAATAAACAAAAATGGAAAGTGGAGTGGAGGAAGATGATTGGTTTGGAAGACTTCGCGTGTTAACAAGATTTTCTCAAAAGATCGGACGGCAATGCGTGGCCAGTCGCTTATGACGTCGTAAGCTTAGCTTGCCACGTGTGCGATCATCAGCATTTTAGCTGACCGATATTATGTTATTCCCGTGACATTACGATCTAATCTCAATTTATCGTGCTCCGTTGTCTTAAGTGAGAATTTACTCAATTGGTTACACAAACTTGCAAAAGCGTGGATTTTTGTTTTTCTTTCATTTTATCATCTAATAATTTCGAGTTGATGAGCAATATAATCATATTTTATTACTATTATATACATGTTTTAAAAATGTGGATGTAATTCCTCGTCAATGATTTATATAGTTTTTTTTCTATCACATATGTCTATCGACTAATGAGTATTCACGTTACTGAGTAAACAAAATGCATTTGCACTAATAAAGATATATGGTTCTGTACTTCTGTCCATGCGTTTTGTATTTATTTTTATTTGGTCAACTGTCCATGCGTTTATAAGCCTAGCACATTAAATTGTTAGCTGTATTTTTATAACAAACGTTTTAAATAGTTTAATAAGACGAGAAAAAGATAAGCAATGCTTATGTGTAATTGTCGTGGTAAAGCTTGTTAAAATATCGTGATAAGATGCTGTTTCTGGGGAGCTTCTCGTTTGTTGCGTCGTTGCTGTGAACCAACAAAAACGCTAATATAAAAGGCAGCTCAAGTCTTGAGTTTTAATCTCGGACCAATTTACATTTCAAACCGTGTTCTTTTCTCTTTTGTCTTTCCCCAGAAAATCAAACCAATTCTTTTCTTCTTTCATTTTTTTTTTCCTTTTTTTTTTCTTTCTAAATTCTAACGACGATGGCGTCGAAGAAAACCCTAGTTCGCAATCTCTTCAACATTTCCAAAACATATTCCCGGATTTCGGGCCTTACCCGAATGCGTCCGACCAAATCCGGCATTACTTCGGACGCCGGAGACTCTGGAATCCGCCGGAGATTTCTCCACAAACGGGCATTTTTCTCGCCGGAGGTAGTTCCAAGAGGAGGTAATTTGCTGGAGAAACTCAGAGAACTGAGTTTTCCGAATAATCGAATTCGTCTTGACGAGATGTTACCGCCGCCGACGCCGGAGAAGACGTCTCCGGATTTTTTCCCGGCGGTTACGGTGGCAGACGTGAAGAAGCTTATGAGAGCAGCGGAAATGGAGATGGTGAAATCGAGGCTGAGAGAGATTGGGAAAAATTGGGTTCCGTATTCGGAGTTTGTTCGGGTGTGCGGAGAAAACAGTTCGGATCCTGAACAAGGGAACCGGGTCGCGAATATGCTTGACGAAGCTGGCAACGTCATCGTTTTGGGAAAATTCGTCTGTCTTAAACCCGAAGAGGTAATTAACAAACGCATGCATTACAAATTAACAATGCAATTGTCAGCTAAATTTTAACTAAGATCTAATTTTTTTTAATTTTCTTCTTAATTACAGCTAACAAGCGCCGTGTCTGGCCTAATTCCGACACACGAGTCCACTCTCGACGCCGCAACAAGACAAGAGTTTGAGCAACTTGAGATAATAAAATCAGATATCGACAAAAGAGCCGACGATATGGTACGGCGAGAATTATGGGCTGGATTAGGCCTAATAATGGCCCAAACCGTTGGATTTTTTAGGCTGACGTTTTGGGAACTGTCGTGGGACGTGATGGAGCCCATATGCTTCTACGTAACTTCGACGTATTTCATGGCTGGTTACGCCTTCTTCCTCCGAACCTCCAAGGAACCTTCCTTCGAAGGGTTTTACAAAAGCCGGTTCGAGGCCAAGCAGAGACGGTTGATTAAAATGCTTGACTTCGATATCGATCGGTTTACCAAGCTACATAAGATGCATCGTCCGGACTTTGCTAAACCCGGTTGTTGAATTGATCGTAATTAATTCTTTTTACGTTTTAATCGGATACTAATTAAATGTATAATCGTCGAAAAGAATCCTAGAGAATATTTTAACATTAGAGGGTAAAAAGAGATACACTTTGACTTTGAGCTTTGAGTCATTTAATGACATCATATAATGGAATCGGATGGCAACAAATAGGTATAATCATATAACCCAATTACTGAACTAACAAAATTAAAATAAGTATATTTTAATTCTGGATTAGCTGAGTTAAATGTGCCAGCCATGTAAAGAGAGATACGTAATAAACATTTGATCACACGTTATAGGCTTGTTATAGCGTTACCTAAGAGAAGAAAGAGTTTGTTAGAAAACTGAAAAGTATGGACTATACAACTGGAACACTATTATTTCTAAGTATTCACAAGATTTTTTTTTTTTTTTTTTCGAAATCTAAACATGCAAAAACAATCAAGTTGTGGGCATTTGTTGAGGCAAATAGGCAATGACCGTAAAAAGAGATTGAAAAGCCTACTCATGGTTGCTTGAGCTCAGAGCTAAGGACTCCTTTAGTTTCATCAAGCAAAAATTCAATCCAACGAAAATACATTTGTATAACACGTTTTAAAGATTCAAACAAAAGAAGAAGAAACTGTTTAGCAAAGGAACAAAGATCAATCCAGAAGAAGAAGAAGCAGTGTTCACACTTCACACCAAAGAAGGAATAATATATACGTATATGGGTATGTGTATGTGTATATAATTGGTATAATATATGGGTGATTCAAATATTTGAATCTCTAACAATGTCTTTTAGAGTATCCTTAAGGTTGTCATGATTCAAGACCATCATCTCATAAACCTGTTTGAATCCGAGACCGTAGACCGGTGAATCATCTTCTTTGATCTGGTACATGCAAAACTCGAGAAGCTTCTTCTCGTAATCGGACCAGTCGTCACTTTTCTTTGACGTGGTTGCAGCAGGAGGAGTGCGGGAAGAAGAAGAAGAAGAAGCAGCAGCAGCATCAGCAGAGGCAAATGTCTGAGACTCCAACCACCTAAGGGCTAACACTTGGCATAATCCTTCTTCCAGCTCTAACTTAAGCTTCCTATAACCTGTTATCAAAACCAAAAAGAAAGTGACTCAAACGTAATTTGAGAGATCTCTCCATGTTAATTTCTTGGTCTTGATGAAATCATATATGTAAGGACGTACCGTTGAGTCTAAGCCAAGCATGCATCATCTCGTGAGCCAAGATAGATCCTGTGAGTAACCTAGGAAGTCCATATATGATGAGAATTGCAGTGACCTCGCATCCAGTACTCACCGTTTGAGTCTCTGTAACCAAGTCTACTAGCTTTTTGTTTGATCCCATCTTTGGCCCTTTTTTTACCTGTTTTATTTATGTGGAACATACTGAAACTCATCAGCTCCATATCGGAAATGATCATGTGACATAGACCAATATAGCCTCTAAAAGTGTGTTTATATAGCTATTTTAGTGTCTTACGCTTGTGACAATTTGCTCTTCAGACAAGCAGAGGCCTCTTGTTACCACTGCATGATGATAGTCCTGTTTTTTAGTGAAAACTTATGAGACACAGAGAGAGGAGTGAGAGTGATGGAAATTATACAACGTAAGAAGGGAATGTGTGTGTACTGACAATCTTCTCTTCTTCCTCAGCTTTGTTGAGAGCTTGTTTCTCAACAAGAAGAAGAGGAAACTCTTTGTCAACTTTCAAGAATAAGCCTTCCAAGAACTCACGGATTTCCAAATGCAAAGAATGGCACTCGTAAGTATCCATAACCGAAGATCCCATACACTCTAGACATAGCCACCGATCATCACCAAGCATCACATAGTTTGTTCCCCTAGGCTGCACAAAAAGAAATTAAGGCTATATCTTGTATATATATATATATATATATCTTGTATATATGTATCTTGTAAATTTTAACCAAACTCAATATGTTAAGGAACCTCTAATCTTTCACAGCTGCAACACTTGGCAGTTCCATCATCTTCATGGCAAGGACAGTATTTCTCCTTCCAGAACGGATGCTCCTTGTACTCTCTACCTTTCTCTGTTGAAGGAAACTGAAAAACAAAACAGAATAATTAAACTATATACCCATAATAATGAAGCCATAACCAATTGTTTATCAGTGTACTTTCATTTCTTAAAAACCCAACTAATTAATGAGACTTTATTCTACCTTATTTTTGCAGACGTAGCAGTTGGGATGACGGTGCTCCTTATAGCAAGGTCTGTGAAATTTTCCTTTTCTTGAAATCTAAGGAGTTGTATACATAAGAAAACAACATCCATGTCCAGAAGTAAAATTATACTAAAGCAATTTAAAATTGGTATCTTATGATCTTAAAACCTCGTCCATAGCAACTGGTTTGTGGCAATGAAGGCAACACACACATTCAGGATGCCAAAGATCACCAAAGGCATTGACAGATGATCCATCTTTGATCTCAGATTTGCAACCATTGCATATGCTACAAATTAAAGTTAAAAAAAAAAACATATTATTACATTAGAGATAGAGATTGTTAGAAGGCAAAAATCCCTTTTAGGATACACACTTGCAGAAGCACATAAAGTTTACCTAGGAGGAGGAGGAGGAGGAGGAGGAGGATTCACATCTTTGTCTTTGGAATCGTTAATCTGTCCCTTATCCTCCACTTGATCATCGTCCACTTGCTTAGTTTTGCCTTTCTCCTTTGACTCTTCTTCCAATCTTCTCTTTTCCTCCTCTTCCTTAGCTAACTTCAAACTTTCTTCCTTGACCCTCTCAAATTCAATCTGTTCATCTTTTTCTCTTCTCAGACGCACGATGCGATCTTCTTCTTCATGCCGCGAGAGTTTGATGGCGGTTTTATAATGATCCTGCAGGTTTCAGATCGCCAAAAGTTATAAGCCCAGAAAGCAAGAAAGGTCTAGGCTTCTTTTAGCATTAAAACTTGTAACAAGATAAGCAAACAAAGAAGTAAGATCGACAACCTCAGATGGATCATGTGTAGTAGATGGATTGAAGCAGGAGAAGCACCGCATCCTCTGAGACTTCAAGTCTTCACCGTCCAAGAAACACAAAAGCTCTTTGCTTTCCTCTAATTGGAAACTTGGTCACTGTTTCCATGAGAGGTTTCAGAGATATTAGAGCCACTTTGCATTCATGTTTGAATTTACCTAACAGTGAGGGACAGAGAGATATTAGGAGAAGCAGAGGAGTGAGAGTTAAAAAACACTAGTGGTCTACCTTTTTTTTTTATAATAAGCTCTTTATATATAAAGGGAAAGAGAAAACTATATTATAAAAATGTTAATGAAGAGAAAGTTGCACATCATTTGCAGAGAATTAATTAATTAAGAAAAGTTGAATACAAAAGGTTTTCAGGGTTTTTTTTTTGGGCACCTTGTAGTGTAGATTCATCCCATTTAGATGGACAATGTCAAGTGATATGGAAAATTTATTTTATTAGTGTTGGTAAATATTTAGTATGATCCTAAGCTCACATTCAAAAAGATGATACACCATCACATGGTTCCACTAGTCAGAGTCCGAATACTGACGAAAAAGTTACTATCAAAGCAAACATCTACCAAAACGAGCGCACGTCGCCTTCTTGCTTGACTAATAATTTGAATGGCGTGCTTGACCATAAAACAAACCCATTAATACCATGAGATTTGAGATATGAGCAACAAGGTACATGAGCCTTAATCACATCATTAGGCCCAATACAACTTACAGTTCCAACTGCAAAAACAAAACAGAACAGTTGAAAACAAACATATATAACCCAAAGGTTAACTAACAGTTAACTCGAAGTGGTCACTCTGAGAACACAATCGCGGTAGAGACTGTAGACTCGAGCGATGTCTGTAGAACTAATATTCCAAACATGACCCTTCAACGCCAAACGCAAAACGCTATTACTATGATTCCCTTCCTCGCCGCTGCTGCTCTCTTCAACCGCAGCCGCCTCTTTTCGCTTCTCTTCTCTCCACAGACTCCTCACAAGCAACTCTTTCGTCTCTCTGTCAGGCATCAGATTCAAATCCTTCATTTCTTGGAACACTCTGAAAGCAAGCACTGATCTTTCGCATCTGCAGTAAGCTTGAACAAGAAGCTTCAACATGTAAGGATCTGGCTCCAGACCAATCTGTCTCACCATTGAGAAAAGTCTCTGAACTGTCTGAATGGGTATGGTCAAAAGAACAATTACCAAGGACCACAAGGCACTTTCCCTGGACAACAAATGAATATCCCACCAGGCTTCCCCCACCAACCGCCCCAGCCTGCACCTTCACAAGAGAATGAGCTCAAGGCAATGCTAAAGCAACTACTTCAAGGGCAAGCTGATGGGGTAGTGGACACAAGCAAGAAGCTAGCTGAAATAAACTCTAAGATCGAGAACCTCAACACAAGGGTTTACTCTCTGGAGAATCATGCTTCTTCTGTTGCTGCTGCTACAAAGCAAGGACAACTACCTGGTAAAGCTATTCAGAACCCCAAGGAACAGTGCAAGGTCATCTTCACTCAAGAAGGACTTGTTGAAGAAGAGGATCAAGAAAGGGTCATTGAAGATTTTTGTTTACTGCTGAATGATGAAGAGATTGTTGCTGCTGAGGCTCCTGGAGTCCAGATTGATCAACCAGAAGTGCAGGCACCTACTGTGGCCATTCACACTTCACCAGTTGAGCTCGCACGACAAGCTCGATCGGCAGCTCGATCGAGTCCAACTCTAGCTCGATCGAGTCCGACCTCTTCTGTCCCAACCTTTTTGCTTGATCCTTACAACCGGTTGCCGCTTCCTCGTCTCGCCTACTTAGTCAAGGTCACAAGGAAGTGATTCACAAGTTCAGAAGAGATCTCAGTGGGATTGGAATTGAGTTGCCTCCTATGGATAGCATGAGTGAGGCATTTGATCAAATGCAAATGGTCAAGGATGTTCTAGCCAACAGTGATAAAGTTTCAGAGGTCCTACAAGAGTCTACTCATCAGTTCAACCTGCTTACTTCACCCACCTTCCTACCAAAGGTCAAGGATCAAGGGAAATTCACTCTCCCTTGCACACTTGGGCATCTTGAGATTGACAATGCCTTAGTGGATTCTGGAGCAAGCATCAATCTGATCTCTCTCTCCATGGCAGAGAAGCTAGGCATTGCTGGAGCCTTGCAGCGCCCTACTACTTCAATCATGTTTGGAGATGCAACTTCTAAGTCTCCTCTTGGAGTGTTCAAGAACTATCACTTGAAAATTGGAGAATGCATCATCCAAACTGATCTCACTGTGATGGAAATGGAAGAAGAGAAGGATTTGCCTCTGTTATTGGGAACCCCTTTCCTTAGTACAGTTGGCGCTTCAATAGACTTTCACAAGCAAGAAGTGATCCTTCACAAGGTGAATAGTTTGGTGTCATATCGCTTGCAGCCTAGAGGTTCAGACTTTTGTGCCACAATTGACAGTACCAATCTCAGTTCTAAGAGTCATGGAGCTACAAAGGTTGTGAAGGAAAGGGTTGACAAGAACCAAGAGTTGGGAAGGATAAGGATGAGAGAGGACCAAGGATTGAGAAGCCACGTCTTGAGAGGGCTAGAGTTGAGAAACCACGTCTGATAGGCCACGAGCTGATCGACTTGTTCAAGCCCCTTGTGTGCTTGATGAAGAGAGCCTTCAAGCTTTGTTTGATGAGCCACTAGGAAGGGCTCTAAAAGAAGGGGAGGATGCAGCCTCTAAGGCAAGACCAGGATAAAAGAAAGATCCACCAGCTCAGGCCCCTTCAGTCAAGCCATCTCAGCTCACAATGACCTTGTTCCCCACCAAGTTTGAAAATGGGAAGATTGAGTACAAGATAAGGTACAAGGGGAGATCAAGGCCATTCTCTAGAGCCAAGGCCTTGGTGACTTCAGAACAGTCCAGGGACCCAACCAAGCTAAAGGAGCTTCTGTCTCAAGTCCTCACTATCACCCTTGATGGTGGGACTAGCTCAACCAATGCCTAAGAAGGTAAAGGTCAAGCTATGGGACCTTAAACAAGCTCACTTGGGAGGAAGTCCCATGTTTATCCTTGTACATACTCTATTTATGCAATTTCTATCTATCTTTATGTTTTAACCTTTGAATAAGTTAAGTTTAGGTGTCAAAGGAGCCAGCTCGACCGACAGCTCGATCGAGCTAGAAACCAGGGCAACTCGATCGAGTTCTCAACTCGACCGAGGTAAGTTTTTGAATTTCAAATTCATAACCGTTTTCTTGGTCAAGGGAGTGGGTCCCACAAGCTGATTTTGGTCCCCCACTACCCTAATTTGATCAGAGAATCCCTAGCTTTTGTTCCCTCTTTATTTCATCTTTTAATCTCAACCACACATCTCAAACACTCCCTCTTCCCCATAACTCGATCGAATCCACTCTCTCTCTACTCTAAAATTTCTGAAACATCTCTCTCTCTTCACCACAAGAAATCGAATTTCCTCTTTTCTCTCTAAGTTTTTGCGATTTCTTTGTTCTCTCTTGTTTTGCTTGGGTTTAGTTTACTGTTCTTCAATTCATCATTCAACAAGGTATGAACCCTAAAACCCTTGATCCATCTCGATTTCCATTGCTTGTTTCTCTTTGATTTTTGATTGCATGTGTCCCTTGTGGACTTGTTCTTGAGTAATTGCCCTTATGCTTCTATTGTATAATCTTGTTAGTTTGTCACCTCACCTCTGTTTTGCCTTTAAACTTGTTGCATGTGCTTGAAATTGAATTTGAGTTTGGTTTTGGTTAAGATGCTACTTCTCTAGAATTGCTCATTGTTCCATTTACTAGTTGTTCTTGGTTCAATTTGATTGATTAGCATCTTTTCCAGCTCTTAATTTGAATTAGGTTTGGTTATACTCTGTTTTCACCCAACTCGATCGAGTTTGTCACTCGAGTTTTTTGACTCGATCGAGCTGAGTGTCGAGTTGACCAAACCATCATTACAACTCTAATTCTTTGTAATTTTGATGCATTTCAGGTACAACTTCAAGAAGCAAACAGTAAGATGTTGAGAGGTGAAGGAAGCAAGCAGCATTCACAAAGAAGGGAGATAACAAGAGGAGCAAGGAGATACTCAAGAATGACAAGGAGGATCTGAGGAAGAGATTAGAGGGTGAGGGAAGAGAGAAGGACCAAGAAGAGGAATGACCCATAGTAGTGAGAGCGAAGGGAGAGTTTGAAATTGGGTAAACATTCCACAAGAGAAGGGTGATGACTGAAAGAGGAAGGAGAAGAGGTGAACCAATTGGTTGAGAGATGAGCAAGAGCAACCAGAATGAGCCATGGAAGAGGAGGAGTCAGAGCAAGAGAGGATGAGCTCCCCATGTACCAAGAGCACTACAATGCTCTCTTCTCCATGGACTTTGTGGAGACCAAGTACCCACATGATGACACATGAGAGGCTCTTGGATCTTTGAGGATGTGGAGTTGGTGCTCAAGAACATGCAATTGGCCAAGTTCTTCTCTCACCGCATGGAGTCTACAAGGAGCTCACTTGTGAGTTTTTGGCTCATGAGCATCCACAGTATGAGCTCGATCGAGCTGAGTTGGACCAAGGCTGGGGATGGATCACTTCTTGCAAGGGAGAGAAGAAGATGTGACCTTTAGGCAGCTTGGAGATCTGTTTGGGTTCACTATGGAGAGGGAACCATGGAACATCAAGGAAGAAGAACTCCAAAGGGTTTGGGCTACAATCGCTGATGGAGTATACTCTTCCTCAAGGTCCAAGGCTGCTCAGATCAGGAAGCCCAGTGCTTGAGATATGTCCACAAGGCTCTTGCCAACACCTTCTTTGCAAGGAAAGCCACTGGGACAATCAATGAAGAGAGGTGAAGCTCCTTGACATGGGAATCAAGCCCATCATCTCACGCACAAGGATGGGAAGAAGATCAGAGGAGATAGAATCGCAGGGAATCTCATGCCTCTCCTTGACAGCTCTCTCCTACAAGACAAGCTTACAACACTAGGCAAAAGGGAAGGAAGCTTAGTGTTGGAGGGGTCATCACACCAATTCTGTGCAGCAGGAGTTCAAGTGGACAAGAGAAGGTCTACTCCAGCCAGGTTGGATGGACATCAAGTTTTGCAAGACCAACCTCCTCATTGAGCACAAGGAGTTGGATGGGAGATTCCAATTCAAATTCACCATCCTTGGCTGGCCTCCAAGCTTCTCTGCCCAACCCTGAGCTCACCACGGTCCTAGGAGGTACAAACATTGATTTCAGACCCCCTGTGTACACTTTGTTGGGCATGAAGCAGATTTGCGAGAAGAGGAGCCTGAGCTCGATCGAGCTGAGGATCGAGCTGAGGACTCAAGCTGAAGATGTGAGGATGCGGATTTGGGTGAGCCTGAGTGCTATTACTTTGAGGAGTATGAGGCTCCAAGGATGAACCCCTCTGTTGTGGCTGCCACAAGAGGATTGGACTTCTCCAAAAGGTTCAACAAGTGGCAAGGGAAAGCCATGGAAAGATGCAAAAGTCCATGGATAAGATGGTGAGCAAGATCAAGAGCTTGGAGAAGAAAGTTCTGGTTCTTCAAGCAAGAAGAAGAAGGCACCCAAGGCTCCCACTTTCCCTAGGAGTAGGTCACTCCTCACCACTCAAAGGAGACTCCCTGCCCAAGAGCCTCACAGAGCCTCTTCTTTCGAGCCAAGGGAAGGAGAAGACAACACGCAGAGAAGGAGGAAGAGTTCCAAGGCCAGACGCTCCAGCTCGACCACCGGACTCGATCGAGTCCAAACAGAGGAAACTCAACTCGATCGAGCTGACGGTCGAGCTGACCAGGAGGAGCCCCAGTTCGAGATCCGGGATTTGAATACGATCCCATGCCTTACCAGGAGCCTCCCCGGAGTAGATGGAACTCCCTATGGACAGTACGAGCTACCAATGCTCCACCAAGGCCAAGGAAGCCACACACATTTCAACGATGAAGAAGAGGAGGAAGAGGAGCCACAAGCTCGATCGAGTGAGCCAAACAACCAGTTGCATGGAGTGCTCCTGATGGCCGTCTACCATCTCCAGACCACGACCTAGTCTCCCAGTTCTTTGGGGGACACTGAGGTATCCAAACACCAACCCTTGTATATACCATTTCATATTTTCTTGCATTTGTTCTTGTTTTTTCTTGGTTTTGCCCTCTTGAATCTTTCACTAAATTTTTCTCACACAAGGGACTGTGTGATTTAAGTTTGGGGGAGGGTTCAAGAGATGATTTAACCTTGTTTTCTTTGTTCTTAGTTTTTCATTTATCTTTTGCATAGAAAAACCAAAAAAATCATAAAATTTTCAAAAAATCCAAAAATATTTTCATCTTTTTGCATTCATATTTGTTAGACTTGTTTAGGATTGCATTTTCACTTGCATTGTTGATTTGACTTTGAAAACTTGTCCATCTTTTGCGATTTCTTGAGTGCCCTGTTTTTAGATTCTTTTGTGCATTAGGGTGAGATTGATTGAGCAGCAAGAACCATGTTTATCTTGATCATATCGCTGCATGCACATCTCATTCAACCATTGCTGTGATTTGATGCATTTCCCTATCTATTTGAACCATAACTTGATCTTTAATTACCAATGCTTGCATTTGATTTCAACTCATGGCTACCACATACATATCTGGACATTCTTTACCCATTTTCATATCCCTTTTGCTTGTCCAGATAGCTGATCTCTATCTTTGAGACAGTTACCATACCTTAAACCTAAGCCTTTTTCATTTCAAACCCCTTATTATCTCTTGTGCGAATGTGAGAACCTTTCTTGGCTTTGCTTAGCATAAGGTGTTGTGTTTAAACCGGCAGGGGCAGTAGTTCTAGTTGTCTAGTTCTCTTGGGATTGTTTTCAGGCTAAGTTTGGGGGTGCCAACTCGAGCTCGATCGAGTTGGGTGTAAAACCAGAAAAGTGGTAAAAGTTGGGAAAAACCCAAAGGAAAAAGAGTTTAGTCCAGGGAGTTGGCAGTGTTTAAAAGGGTCTAGTAAAGGTTTGGGAAGTTAAAAAAGGAAGTAAAAAGGCGAAATGCCAAAAAGGGTAGTTAGGATTTTGTTCTAAAAAGCTCTAAGTGTTGAACTCGATCGAGTTAGGATTAGACGGCTCTTGCTGCTGTTCTTGCATCATCTTTGGTTCTAACACTTAGCCTTCTGCCAAAGTAAAGCCACTTTCTTGAGAGATCCTTGTTAACTAAACCCCCATACAAAAGAGACCCCCTTTGTCTCTTAACCCAAAAACCCTTGAAACCAAATGAGTTGATTGATCTTGCATGTTTTTGGTTCACTGTTTTTGCTTAATGAATGTTAAAGGGATTTGCTGATTTGAATGCATTGTTTGAGTGACTGTGAAGTGGGATTGATGTTGATAAGCATGGTTAAATCTTAAATGAATATCTCTCACCTTGTTGCATTTTAGAATCTCTAAGTTGGACATTTTAGCAAATCGCTTTTGAGGACATGTTTTTAAGTGTTGAATCAGCTTATTTTCAAACCTCATCTCTTTCTTGTTCTATTTGTTTGCTTGAGGGCAAGCAAAGGTCAAGTTTGGGGTGTTGATGTACTTGCATTTTACATAGTTTTAGCACATCTTTTATGCATCTTTTGCATAGTTTTAGCTTCCATTTGCATCATATCTTGTTCCTTTTCTCTTCTTATGCATTCATGTTAGTTTTAGGTTGCATTTGCATACATATGCATGTTTGGTCCTTTGAAATAGGTCTTTTGGAGCATTCTGGAGCATATGGGACATGAGGAGCATGGAGGGACTTGGCACATGGAAGCAGCTCAACTGGATACACAAAGGAAGAAGGGAGAAGCCATCTTGAAGACCAGCTCGACCGTCTACTCGACCAACCGGTCGAGTTCCTCAACTCGACCGGCCAAGCTTCAACTCGATCGAGCTGAGAAGTCAAAGTCAAACCCGAAAAATGTTGCTTCCCCCTTGACTTTCCTTTGACCCTAAACCTAAAACCTCTTGTATTTAAAGGCTCTAAGCCACGAAAAAACCACCAAGCTTTAGATTATTTTGTTTTAGTTTCTTTTAATTTATTGTCTTTTACTTTTTAGAGATCTAATCCCATCTTTGTGTTCTTGAAGCTCTTGCTTCTTGAATCTAGATCCTGGATAATCTCTCTTGTATTTGCACTTGCTTATTTCAATAAAAGTTGTTTAATTTCATCTCCTCTTTCTTATGATGTCTCTTTTATTGCATTTGCTTGTGTTTACATTCATGTGTAGTGAGTAGTTACCCATTGGGGTTTGAGATGGGATAGATTAGAGGTTTCATATGCTTAATCCTTCTAGCTTATGGTCTTAATCTAGATTCTCTCTCTTTTGGATAGATCTTAAGGCTACATGACCACTACCCCTGGCTTGTAAGTCCTTAGGCGACTCCCCACACGAAAGTGATGGCATTCGCTGGAAAAGATCCACTAAGAGCTCCAATATCTCTTGCTCTAGACAATAGAGGTCTAAGGGGTTGGATGGATTAGTTTGGGCAATGATCCTATAGCCTCCAAGGTTTGATTCTCACTGGCTAACCCCCTGTTTCTGAGATCATTCCTTGGTTGATAGCCTCCACCTTGGGAAAGGGTTGGCTAGGCATTGAGAAGCCCAATATCAAGAGAAGCCTTGATACAAGGAGTTTTAAGAGCTAGATTGATTAAGTGTAGATTCCTTTGATTGCAAAACCCTGTCTTGAACCCTAATTCTCTCTTTATCTTGTTAAAGTCGTCACCTTTAGCTTTGTTTGTCTCAACTCGTCCCTAAACTCGATCGAGCTGGTACTTTGTCTGACTCGACTCGAGCTCTTGGTCGAGCTGACTTCACTGCTTTGTTTACTTTTATTGCACTGCTTTTCATTTTTTTAGGTTGTTAGTGTTACTTCAAATCTATAACTGCTTGCTTGACTTTCTGGTTGTTTCATATTCTCATAGAGTGACAAGTTTCCCATTTTGGATTGATAACCTCTTATACTTCAATGACTATGATGGTTAAGAGGAATTGATTGATTGTGATTGCACCATTTCATCTTTATTCACCCCTGTTTGCATTCCACCTCATATTTCATATCCTTCATTCACATCACACACATCCACGTAAAATCCTATCATCACCTTTCCAACGACCATCACTTCCATGTGGAGAATCGTCTATGGACATACAAGCCAGGGGTAGTGGTCATGTAGCCTTAAGATTTGTCCAAAAGAGAGAGATTTCTAGATTAAGAACATAAGCAAGAAGGATTAAGCATAAAAATCCTCTAATCTATCCCATCTTTGACCCTAAGGGAAACTACTCACTACACATGAATGTAAACACAAGCAAATGCAATAAAAGAGACATCATAAGAAAGAGGAGATAAAATTAAACAACTTTTATTGAAATAAGCAAGTGCAAATACAAAAGAGATTATCCAGGATCTAGGATTCAAGAAGCAAGAGCTTCAAGAACACAAAGATGGGATTAGAGCTCTCAAAAGTAAAAGACAATAAATTAAAAGAACTAAAACAAAAAGTAATCTAAAGCTTGGTTGTTTTTTCGTGGCTTTTAGCCCTTAAATACAAAGAGGATTAGGTTTAGGGTCAAAGGAAAGTCAAGGGGGAAGCAACATTTTTCGGGTTTGACTGTTGACTTCTCAGCTCGATCGAGTTGAAGCTTGGCCGGTCGAGTAGGATGGTCGAGCTGGTCTTCAAGATGGCTTCCTCCTTCTTCCTTTGCGTATCCAGTTGAGCTGCGTCCATGTGCCAAGTCCTGCTTTGCTCCTCTCGTCCCATATGCTCCAAATGCTCCAAAAGACCTATTTCAAAGGACAAACATGCATATGTATGCAAATGCAACCTAAAACTACTATGAATGCATAAGAAGAGAAAAGAACAAGATATGATGCTAATGGATGCTAAAACTATGCAAAAGATGCATAAAAGATGTACTAAAACTATGCAAAATGCAAGTACATCAACACCCCCAAACTTGACCTTTGCTTGCCCTCAAGCAAACAAATAGAACAAGAAAGAGATGAGGTTTGAAAACAAGTTGATTCAACACTTAAAAACATGTCCTCAAAAGCGATTTGCTAAATGTCCAACTTAGAGATTCTAGAATGCAAGTACATCAGGTATCATTTTATTTTTTCTATCGACCCCTCTATCAATCACAGGATAAGTCTTTAGCTTGTTCTTTGTTTGAATAAGGTATTCCATAAAACATGAAGGTACAGACATATACATTCCTCATGCTTACTTGTTTTCCTTGTGCTCTTAGAGCTTTTCTAAAAAGTATTTCTTTCCTTCATGTGTAGTGAGTAGTTACCCATTGGGGTTTGAGATGGGATAGATTAGAGGTTTCATATGCTTAATCCTTCTAGCTTATGGTCTTAATCTAGATTCTCTCTCTTTTGGATAGATCTTAAGGCTACATGACCACTACCCCTGCCTTGTAAGTCCTTAGGCGACTCCCCACACGAAATGATAGCATTCGCTGGAAAAGATCCACTAAGAGCTCCAATATCTCTTGCTCTAGACATAGAGGTCTAAGGGGTTGGATGGATTAGTTTGGGCAATGATCCTATAGCCTCTAAGGTTTGATTCTCACTGGCTAACCCCCTGTTTCTCAGATCATTCCTTGGTTAATAGCCTCCACCTTGGGAAAGGGTTGGCTAGGCATTGAGAAGCCCAATATCAAGAGAAGCCTTGATGCAAGGAGTTTTAAGAGCTAGATTGATTAAGTGTAGATTCCTTTGATTGCAAAACCCTGTCTTGAACCCTAATTCTCTCTTTATCTTGTTAAAGTCGTCACCTTTAGCTTTGTTTGTCTCAACTCGTCCCTAAACTCGATCGAGCTGGTACTTTGTTCTGACTCGACTCGAGCTCTTGGTCGAGCTGACACTTCACTGCTTTGTTTACTTTTATTGCACTGCTTTTCATTTTATTTAGGTTGTTAGTGTTACTTCAAATCTATAACTGCTTGCTTGACTTCCTGGTTGTTTCATATTCTCAAAGAGTGACAAGTTTCCCATTTTGGATTGATAACCACTTATACTTCAATGACTATGATGATTAAGAGGAATTGATTGATTGTGATTGCACCATTTCATCTTTATTCACCCCTGTTTGCATTCCACCTCATATTTCATTACCCTTCATTCATATCATATCACATCCACGTAAAATCCTATCATCAATTTGGCGCCGTTGCCGATTTGGGAATATTTTTGTTGCATTTAAGTTTCAAACACACTTGGACGATCAAGCTATACCACCCCTGTTCTATTGTACTGCTGGGTTTTTGTCTCTTTTTGCAGGTGTATGCGAACTCGATCGAGTCGGTCAACTGAAGACTTGGTCGAGCTAGACATTACAACGGGTAGAAAGAGGGTTCAGAANTTATTCACTTTTTCTCTAAGTGACAAGGCGCTAAGATGGGTAAAATCTTTACCACCTCAGTCCATTACAACATGGAATGAATACAAGGGAGCTTTCTTGAACCAATTCTACACTAAGCAAAGATCCAACTCTATAAGGAGCAAGATTTCTGGTTTCAAGCAAGATTCAATGGAGTCATTCTATGAAGCTTTGGAGAGATTCAAGGAGTACACAAGAAGCTGCCCTAACCATGGCTTTTCAGAAGGTAACCTTTGGAACATCTTTTACAATGGGATTGATCATAAATACAAGCTTTCTCTCGATACCGCGAGCAATGGTAATTTCATGACCAAGTCGGTGCCGGAGGCTAAGCTTTTGATTGAGAATCTCGCTGCTAGTGATGCCAATGCGTGCCCTGACTACAATAGAAGCGTGAAGACCACGAGCTCATCAGAATCAGCTCAAATCTCGGAGCTAAGGAACATGGTTTCACAACTACTTCAAAAGCCGACAAGGAGTTCACGCCATTGAAGATGCCCTAGCCACAAATGAAGACACTCTTATGGATTTCATGAGAGATGGCGCTGAAGAGAATCTAGAGGAAGTCAACTACATTGGAGGAAACTATGGGAATAGAGGATTCAATCCACCATTTCGCGCGCATCCAAACCTATCATACCGGAGCAACAATGTGGAGAATCCAAATGACCAAGTCTACCCCAATCAAGGAGCGTATCAAGGAGGCCAATACCAATCCAAGCCACAACAAGTCTATCCAAGAGGGATGTACCAAGTGAAGCAACCATTCACTTTTTCTCAAGAAACAAATCCAACCCAAACCGGAGAGAAGGTTGACGTGGCCTTGAAGAAATACATGGAGGAGCAGAGATTGATCACCAAGAACCTATATGAGAAGCTTGATCACATGTTTGGTGATCTAAGCAGCAAGTTTGGGTCTCTCTCTACTCACGTTCAAAAGCTTGAGGTGCAAATCGCTCAAACAGCCGAGGCGGCCAAGAAACAAAATGAGGTAAACACTCAAAAATTTTGTAGTGTTGTCTCATCTATAGATGGCACAATTGTTCCTACACTATCTCAAGGGGAAGAAGAAGAAAATGAGCCTAAGGAGAGGCACAAACCGGAGAGATACAGTTGGGAATCAAGAAGAGCTTACAAGAGAAGACTTGAAGGCAAGCCACTACAAAAACAAGAAGATCCGGGGAAGTTTGTGATAACTTCAAGTATCAATGGCATTCAACTCCACGATTGCCTATGTGATACTGGTGCTAATGTTAATCTAATGTCTCTTGCACTTGCAAAAGATTTGGGATTCAAGGAATTCAAGAGCCCCAAGATAAGAGTCGAGTTCGCGGACCTATCGTGCATGGAACCTTATGGAATGCTTGAAGATGTCATGATGGAAATAGGGGGTCGATCGGTCCCAACTGACTTTCAAGTCATGATTTGGGAAGGCTCAAAGAGGAATCAACTGATTCTTGGAACCCCATTCCTTGCTACAGCTGGAGCGGTCCTAAACTACTTTGGGAATCATCTATCTTTTGGCCACATCCGGCAAGATATCTTTTTCCCAAGTGTAAATTTCAGGTCAGTGCCAAGTGCGACCAAGCTACCACCAGAAGAAGCCACTCTCATTACCTAAGAAAGAAGATATGCTGCATGGAGAAAGAAGAGAGAGTGAGCGCTACCCAAAACCAAAGGAGAAGAAGAAAACATTGGAGCCGAGGCATGAAAATGTCTTTAAGGAAAATCAACTCTCATCTTACTTCCAACCTTTGACGATATGGAGCTGAAGAGGAGACTAATGGTGCACCTAATCTCTTTCACAAGATAAGAATCTTTACACCAAAAGATTCGGAGCTTAAAGGTGACCAATCCATTGAAGAGAAGCTTGAGAGAACTATGAAGCTTTTCCCCAAGGCATTGGTTTTCAAAGATGATGTGAGAGATGACTATGGCGCAAAACCACTACAAGAAGCCACTGAACCGGAGAATGGAGAAGCTAAAGGGATCCTTTGCCCTTCAGCCACTCTTCACCACGATTGAAAGAAAGAAAAGGAGTCAAGCTAAATGACTTAAAACAAAAGCGCTTTATGGGAGGCAACCCATATGGTTTTTAACTATCTATTTCTATTTTGCAGGAGTTTTTCAAAAATCAAACAAAAATACAAAAATATTTTCTTAGGATGAAGACCCAAAGGAGACCAAACAATGGAAGTGTCCCACCCAATGAGCCCACCCTTGTACAAGGCGTTTCTCTTCCAAAAGGTAAGTAAACTCTCACCTAGTATTCATTTCTAATCACTCTTGATCTTCACTTGAAAAATCGTTTAAACCATTGCACTTTATCAAATATATTTCATGGTTTAACTTGATTTACATTTGATGATTGGAAAGAATACATAATCACTTGTCAAAACTCATTTGCTCACTGAAATTACAAGAGATTGAACTATAGTTTGAAATTTGGATCATTGACCAAGACCAAATAAGAATTTATAGTTTGTGCTTTAATCTCTTGGATTGTGAACTTCAAGTTGGTCACTTGAGGATCACAATCTGAGAAACCATCTAATCATGATTTCAAGTGTTTTGCAAGGAGTTAACCATTTGACAGGAAGGAGAAATAGAGCAAACCTATCAACCACCTCAAAACCAACATGCATATGGCGGCCAAAGGGAGGTTAAAAGGAGATACATAGGCCATCACACGAAACAAGGCGGCCACCACTTGGGAATGACACAGGAGGGTTATTAAAACAATTCGGTCGAAGAAAATCTCAATTGGCCCGAGTGGATTTGAAGAAATTCAATCCAGGACATTTCTCTCGGCCATACCGCGCACAAGGAGACAAATTACGGCCAACTCCTAAACGGCGTGACCAAAGTCCACCAAACTTCACAGGCGACCATAAAATCACATTTGGTCGGCAAATCCAAAAGATAGGACGGAGAAATCATCACGGATCATGAGATAGACGACGGAGCTCATTCTGGCCGATGGCGCGCAAGCAATATGGCCGACAAAACCAAATCACGGCATAAGCGCGCCAACCGGTTGGAAAACTCTTCTTTGAGCTTAACTAACACTTTTATGCAGGAAGAAACGAAAAGGAACGAGCCAAACTTCACATGGCCAAGGAAACTCCTTCCCGGAGCCGACTTGACCATTTTGTGAAGGAAGTCTCAATCCGCTCGTCAAATGCTCCCAAACTTCACCAGAGGCATAAAATACCAGGTTGGTCGATGAAATTTCAATATAGGTCATGAAATTTTTGACGGTTTGTTCTGTAGTTCACAGCACCACATTTTGGCCGACCGAATATACCAATCTCGGCCAAAACACAAACCGGCGGAACCAAGGCCGGAGACAAAACATGAGGTCTGCTACATCCACAATAACCAAGCAAACTATATGAATCCTCAACAAGGGAGATACAACAATTATCATGCCCCATGGCCGCACCAACACCAAAGTCTTGCCCAAGGTTTCAACCCAAGGACTACCCATACCCAACCAACTCAAGATTGGGATATGAAGGAAATGCTCCAACAACTTCTACAAGGGCAAGCCAAAGGTTCTCTGGAAATGAACAACAAGCTGGTTGAGATACACTCTAAATTAGAGTCATTGACTTCAAGAGTCCAAATCATTGAGTCTTCAGGTGCATCATCCTCTTCACCACAAGAGTATGCCCAAGCAGTTACACTAAGAAGTGGGAGGCAATTCCCTAGTAGAGGTAGCCCACCCCAAATCGCTGTGGACATCGATGATGAGGAAGGGGAGGATTTAGTCGACCATGCTGATAACTCGAGCCCGAACTCGATCGAGCTGGAACAAAACCCCGAACCAGAACTCGATCGAGCTGGAGAGACTGAGACACTGCAAGACAAACCAGAGCTCGATCGAGCTCAGAAGAAAACAGACAAGGCAAACCCCAGCCAACCAGCTAAACCTGTTGCAAAGAAGAAAGACACTCCAGCTGGACCACCACCATACAAGCCCCCTCTACCCTTTCCAGGAAGGTTCAAGAAACAACTGTTGGAAGCACACAAGGCCAAGTTTGATGAATTAATAAAGCAGCTCGAGTTGAATTTGCCCTTCATCGACGCTTTGATGCTTATTCCACCTTATCAGAAATTTCTAAAGGATGCTGTTCAGGAAAGAACCAGGGAAGCACAAGGGATGGTAGTGTTGACTCGCGAGTGCAGTACAATCATTCAGCGGAAGGTTATCTCCGACAAAAAGGAAGATCCAGGGAGTTTCACTTTACCGTGCATGCTGGGACCCTTATCTTTCAAAAACAGCCTCTACGATCTAGGATCATCTGTCAGCCTCATGCCTTTGTCTGTAGCGAAGAGACTGGGATATCACAAGTACCAAGCCTGCGGAATCTCACTAGTCTTGGCAGATAGATCGATAAGGTTACCGACTGGGATGCTTGAAGACCTGCCTTTATCTTTCAAAAACAGTCTATGCGATCTAGGATCATCTGTCAGCCTCATGCCTTTGTCTGTAGCAAAGAGACTGGGATATCACAAGTACCAAGCCTGCGGAATCTCACTAGTCTTGGCAGATAGATCGATAAGGTTACCAACTGGAATGCTTGAAGACCTGCCTTTGAGGATAGGGAATGTAGAAATCCCCACCGACTTCATTGTGCTGGAAATGGATGAGGAACCAACAGATCCATTGATTCTAGGAAGGCCATTCCTAGCTACAGCAAGAGCAATGATAGATGTCTGTGAAGGAACAATTGAGTTAAACTTGGGAAAGGACCTGAAGATGAAGTTTGATATCAAGGATACAATGAGGAAACCAACTATAGAAGGTCAGCTCTTTTATGTTGAGGAAATGGATCAGTTGGCAGATGAGCTTCTAGAAGAGTTATCAACAGAGGATCCCTACAAGTTGCTTTGACCAAGGATTCTTCAGAGGGATATGTGAGCTCAGAAACTGATGAGTACAAGAAGCTCCTTGACACCTTCAGACCAGTTCCAAACATTCTGAGCATTGAGGGATTGGACAGGCCAGTTTGCGAAGTCATGGCAGTGAGCTCGATCAAGAACTCGATCGAGTCGAGCTCGAACAAACGAACTCGATCGAGCTGGGGCTGAATGCAAGGAGCAAGCTCAAGGAGATTGGTCTGAGCTCAAGGCGCCTAAAGTCGACCTCAAACCTTTGCCTGAGGGCCTCAGGTATGCATTTCTGGGTGAAAACTCAACTTACCCTGTCATTGTGAACTCTGATTTGGAACCTGAACAGTTGAGTGCTTTGCTTGTTGAATTGAGAAAGTACAGAAAGGCAATAGGTTACACTCTAGATGATATCAAGGGGATCTCCCCTGACCTATGCATCCATAGGATTCATCTAGAGGATGAAAGTAAGTCAAGCATTGAACCTCAAAGAAGATTGAACCCCAATCTAAAGGAAGTAGTGAAGAAAGAGATACTCAAGTTGCTTGATGCTGGGATAATCTATCCCATCAGTGATAGCACTTGGATATCTCCAGTTCATTGCGTCCCAAAGAAAGGGGGGATCACTGTCATTAAAAACGACAAAGAGGAGCTGATTCCCACTAGAACAATAGTGGGGCATCGCATGTGTATTGACTATAGGAAGCTAAATTCAGCATCTAGAAAGGATCATTTCCCTCTCCCTTTCATTGATCAGATGTTAGAAAGATTGGCAAACCACCCTTTTTATTGTTTTCTTGATGGCTACAGTGGTTTCTTCCAAATCCCGATCCACCCTAATGATCAGGAGAAGACCACTTTCACATGCCCTTATGGCACCTTTGCTTATCGAAGGATGCCATTTGGGCTGTGCAATGCCCAGCTACTTTCCAGAGGTGCATGACCTCCATTTTTTCAGATCTGATAGAGGAGATGGTAGAAGTCTTCATGGACGATTTCTCAGTCTATGGAGCATCCTTCTCCTCATGTTTGTCTAACTTGTGCAGGGTGTTGCAGAGGTGTGAGGAGACCAATCTAGTACTCAACTGGGAGAAGTGCCACTTCATGGTTCGAGAGGGATTGTGCTTGGACACAAGATTTCCGAGAAAGGGATCGAGCTCGATCGAGCTAAGGTGGATGTCATGTTGCAGCTCCCTGTTCCCAAGACTGTGAAGGACATAAGGAGTTTTCTGGGTCATGCAGGGTTCTACAGAAGATTCATCAAGGATTTCTCAAAGATAGCAAGACCCTTGACAAGGCTTCTGTGCAAGGAGACAGATTTTGAGTTTGATGAAGAATGCCACAAGTCTTGGACCTTGCTGAAGGATGCTCTGGTGTCTGCGCCAATAGTACAAGCTCCAAACTGGGATCACCCATTTGAGATTATGTGTGATGCATCTGACTATGCAGTAGGAGCAGTGCTTGGCCAAAAGATAGACAAGAAACTCAATGTCATCTACTATGCAAGCAAGACTATGGATGATGCTCAGTGCAAGTATGCAACCACAGAGAAGGAACTCCTTGCCATAGTCTTTGCCTTTGAGAAGTTTCGAAGCTATATAGTTGGATCCAAGGTGATTGTGCACACTGACCATGCTGCCCTTAGACACATCTTCGCTAAGAAAGATACAAAGCCAAGACTTCTCAGATGGATCCTTTTGCTTCAAGAGTTTGATATAGAAGTTGTGGACAAAAAGGGAGTAGAAAATGGAGTTGCTGATCATCTCTCTAGGATGCGAGTTGAAGACATGATCCCCATCAATGATTCTATGCCTGAAGAACAGCTTATGGCAATCATGATCTTGAAGGAGAGTTTTGATGAGAAAGCAGGCTGGAAGAAGTTAAGGCTCTGCGTGATGAGAATTTGCCATGGTATGCTGATATAGTGAACTTCATGGTGTCCGGAGAAGTCCCTAGTAGCTTTGATGCTTACAAGAGGAAGAAATTCTTCAAGGATGCTAGGCATTACTATTGGGATGAGCCCTACCTGTACAAGAGAGGACCAGACAGCATTTACAGGAGATGCATTGCTGAAGAGGATGTGCAAGGAGTTCTAGAGCATTGCCATGGGTCAGCTTATGGAGGTCACTTTGCTACATTCAAAACAGCAACTAAGGTTTTGCAATCTGGTTTATGGTGGCCTACTTTGTTTAAGGATGCAGCAAGCTACATTGCCAAGTGTGATCCGTGCCAAAGGAAAGGAGGGATCACCAAGAGGGAGAGATGCCACTAAACCCAATTCTAGAAGTTGAGATCTTTGATGTATGGGGAATAGACTTCATGGGACCTTTCAAACCTTCTTCAAACGGGCACAACTACATTTTGGTTGCTGTAGACTATGTGTCCAAATGGATTGAAGCCATTCCCTGCCCAACCTGTGATGCCAAGGTTGTTATCAAACTTTCAGAACCATCATCTTTCCAAGATATCGGCATCCCAAGGGTTGTTATTTCGGATGGAGGCTCCCATTTCATCAACAAGGTGTTTGAGAAGTTGATGAAGAGTTATGGAGTCAAGCACAAGGTCGCCACACCTTATCACCCTCAAACCAGTGGGCAAGTTGAAGTCTCCAACAGACAGATCAAGGCCATATTGAGAAGACTGTGAGCTTCACTAGGAAAGGATTGGTCAGCAAGGCTTGATGAAGCACTTTGGGCTTATAGAACAGCTTACAAAACCCCCATTGGAAGGTCTCCTTTCAATTTGCTGTATGGGAAGGATTGCCACTTACCTGTGGAGGTCGAATATAAGGCTTTATGGGCAGTAAAGATGCTGAACTTTGATATAAAGGCAGCACAAGAAAGGAGGGTAATGAACTTGTTTGAGTTGGAGGAAATCAGAATGAATGCCTATGAGAACTCTAGGATTTACAAGATGAGAACCAAGGCAGCCCACGACAAACTGATTCGCCTTAAGGACTTCAAGGTTGGGGACAGTGTGCTCTTGTATAACTCCAAGCTAAGGTTGTTTCCCGGGAAGCTGAGGTCAAAGTGGGCGGGACCATTCAAGATTCACGAAGTTCTACCCTATGGGTCCCTCACTTTACTCAATCAAGAGGGGAAGGAATTCACAGTGAATGGACATAGATGCAAGCCATATCTAGGAATGACCCCCACAGAGGAGATCATCACTCCTCTAGAAGATCCAACCCCGGCCTAAAAGGGGTAAGGTCAAGCTAAGAGACCTAAAACAAGCTCACTTGGGAGGAATTCCCATGTCTATCTTATGTATTTATACTTTATCCTTTTATTTTTATGATTTTTCTTGGCTAAGTCTCACAGGAGCAGGTTTTAGGAAGAGAGTGGCAACTCGAGGCACAACTCGATCGAGTCAAGAGCAAGCTCGATCGAGTGAACAGTTGAGTGGAGTGCTCCTGATGGCCGTCTCCCATCTCCAGACCACGACCTAGTCTCCCAGTTCTTTGGGGGACACTGAGGTATCCAAACACCAACCCTTGTATATACCATTTCATATTTTCTTGCATTTGTTCTTGTTTTTCTTGGTTTTGCCCTCTTGAATCTTTCACTAAATTTTTCTCACACAAGGGACTGTGTGATTTAAGTTTGGGGGAGGGTTCAAGAGATGATTTAACCTTGTTTTCTTTGTTCTTAGTTTTTCATTTATCTTTTGCATAGAAAAACCAAAAAAATCATAAAATTTTCAAAAAATCCAAAAATATTTTCATCTTTTTGCATTCATATTTGTTAGACTTGTTTAGGATTGCATTTTTCACTTGCATTGTTGATTTGACTTTGAAAACTTGTCCATCTTTTGCGATTTCTTGAGTGCCCTGTTTTTAGATTCTTTTGTGCATTAGGGTGAGATTGATTGAGCAGCAAGAACCATGTTTATCTTGATCATATCACTGCATGCACATCTCATTCAACCATTGCTGTGATTTGATGCATTTCCCTATCTATTTGAACCATAACTTGATCTTTAATTACCAATGCTTGCATTTGATTTCAACTCATGGCTACCACATACATATCTGGACATTCTTTACCTTTTCATATCCCTTTGCTTGTCCAGATAGCTGATCTCTATCTTTGAGACAGTTACCACACCTTAAACCTAAGCCTTTTCATTTCAAACCCCATTTTATCTCTTGTGCGAATGTGAGAACCTTTCTTGGCTTTGCTTAGCATAAGGTGTTGTGTTTAAACCGGCAGGGGCAGTAGTTCTAGTTGTCTAGTTCTCTTGGGATTGTTTTCAGGCTAAGTTTGGGGGTGCCAACTCGAGCTCGATCGAGTTGGGTGTAAAAACCAGAAAAGTGGTAAAAGTTGGGAAAAACCCAAAGGAAAAAGAGTTTAGTCCAGGGAGTTGGCAGTGTTAAAAAGGGTCTAGTAAAGGTTTGGGAAGTTAAAAAAGGAAAGTAAAAAGGGTTCTAAGTAGAATGAAAAGAAGGCAAAGCCTCAAGTGTCCAAAAAGGAAAGAAAAGTTCCCTAAGTGTTTAGAAAATCCCAAACCGCTAGATGTTACCTCAAGAAGCCTCTCCCTAGGAAGTTCTTAAAAGAAAAGTGAGCAAAGCTCCTCAGTTTCAAAGGCGAAATGCCAAAAAGGGTAGTTAGGATTTTGTTCTAAAAAGCTCTAAGTGTTGAACTCGATCGAGTTAGGATTAGGCGGCTCGAGCTGCTGTTCTTGCATCATCTTTGGTTCTAACACTTAGCCTTCTGCCAAAGCAAAGCCACTTTCTTGAGAGATCCCTGTTACTAAACCACCATACAAAAGAGACCCTCTTTGTCTCTTAACCCATAAACCCTTGAAACCAAATGAGTTGATTGATCTTGCATGTTTTTGGTTCACTGTTTTTGCTTAATGAATGTTAAAGGGATTTGCTGATTTGAATGCATTGTTTGAGTGACTGTGAAGTGGGATTGATGTTGATAAGCATGGTTAAATCTTAATGAATATCTCTCACCTTGTTGCATTCTAGAATCTCTAAGTTGGACATTTAGCAAATCGCTTTTGAGGACATGTTTTTAAGTGTTGAATCAGCTTTTTTCAAACCTCATCTCTTTCTTGTTCTATTTGTTTGCTTGAGGGCAAGCAAAGTTCAAGTTTGGGGGTGTTGATGTACTTGCATTTTACATAGTTTTAGCACATCTTTTATGCATCTTTTGCATAGTTTTAGCTTCCATTTGCATCATATCTTGTTCCTTTTCTCTTCTTATGCATTCATGTTAGTTTTAGGTTGCATTTGCATACATATGCATGTTTGGTCCTTTGAAATAGGTCTTTTGGAGCATTCTGGAGCATATGGGACATGAGGAGCATGGAGGGACTTGGCACATGGAAGCAGCTCAACTGGATACGCAAAGGAAGAAGGGAGAAGCCATCTTGAAGACCAGCTCGACCGTCTACTCGACCAACCGGTCGAGTTCCTCAACTCGACCGGCCAAGCTTCAACTCGATCGAGCTGAGAAGTCAAAGTCAAACCCGAAAAATGTTGCTTCCCCCTTGACTTTCCTTTGACCCTAAACCTAATCCTCTTTGTATTTAAAGGCTCTAAGCCACGAAAAAACCACCAAGCTTTAGATTATTTTGTTTTAGTTTCTTTTAATTTATTGTCTTTTACTTTTTAGAGATCTAATCCCATCTTTGTGTTCTTGAAGCTCTTGCTTCTTGAATCCTAGATCCTGGATAATCTCTTTGTATTTGCACTTGCTTATTTCAATAAAAGTTGTTTAATTTCATCTCCTCTTTCTTATGATGTCTCTTTTATTGCATTTGCTTGTGTTTACATTCATGTGTAGTGAGTAGTTACCCATTAGGGTTTGAGATGGGATAGATTAGAGGTTTCATATGCTTAATCCTTCTAGCTTATGGTCTTAATCTAGATTCTCTCTCTTTTGGATAGATCTTAAGGCTACATGACCACTACCCCTGGCTTGTAAGTCCTTAGGCGACTCCCCACACGAAAGTGATGGCATTCGCTGGAAAAGATCCACTAAGAGCTCCAATATCTCTTGCTCTAGACAATAGAGGTCTAAGGGGTTGGATGGATTAGTTTGGGCAATGATCCTATAGCCTCCAAGGTTTGATTCTCACTGGCTAACCCCCTGTTTCTGAGATCATTCCTTGGTTGATAGCCTCACCTTGGGAAAGGGTTGGCTAGGCATTGAGAAGCCCAATATCAAGAGAAGCCTTGATACAAGGAGTTTTAAGAGCTAGATTGATTAAGTGTAGATTCCTTTGATTGCAAAACCCTGTCTTGAACCCTAATTCTCTCTTTATCTTGTTAAAGTCGTCACCTTTAGCTTTGTTTGTCTCAACTCGTCCCTAAACTCGATCGAGCTGGTACTTTGCTCTGACTCGACTCGAGTCTTGGTCGAGCTGACACTTCACTGCTTTTCATTTTTTTAGGTTGTTAGTGTTACTTCAAATCTTTAACTGCTTGCTTGACTTCCTGGTTGTTTCATATTCTCATAGAGTGACAAGTTTCCCATTTTGGATTGATAACCCTTTGTACTACATCAACTATCATGGTTAAAGGGAATTGTTGACTGTGTTTGTGTTTGCATCTTACCACCTCATCATATACCACTGATTGCATTCCACCATCTCATTTCATATCTTTTCACATCCACACACAAATCCTATCATCATACTCACTCTGTTTGTGAGGTTTGGTTGTTCCACAGGAACAATGGTGTCCACGACAAGAGGAACTCTCTCTCGAGCCGCGGCGGAGAAGGCGGAAGGAAAGAAACCGGTGACGGAGGAAGGCTCAGGCAGTAGGAAAAGCGGATCCACGGTCATGAAAGGCAAGGACTACGCCGAGATCTTTGGCCAGATGCCTTTTGTCGGAACGAGATACCCTGACCTCACGACAATGGCAGAGCTAGGGACCTATCAGGACTGTCACTACCTCTTCGATTAGATGCAGCTTACGAGGCTGATGATGACTCCTCAATCCGCATACAAGAAGGAAACCATCGAGTTCCTCTCCACTATCCGAGTTAACTTCTACGAGCCTGACGAGATCGTGCCTGAGGGCCATGGAAGTGGAAGGTTCTCCTTCCGAATCAACAATAGGAAGTACCGGATGAGTTTCAGAGATTTGGAGGATGTGTTCCACTTTGACAACAAAGAGGGACGAGAGACAGAACCGGGAACGCCACCTGCGGAGCTTCAATCCTTCTGGACCATGATTGGAGTCAATGAGTACATGTCCAGTACCGCCAAGAGCACGCACATCAGGAACCCGACGCTGATGATATAGGTTTGTGTGTGGATGTGAAAAGATATGAAATGAAATGAGTGGAATGCAATCAGTGGTATTTGATGAGGTGGTAAGGTGCAAACACAAACACAGTCAACAATTCCCTTTAACCATGATAGTTGATGTAGTACAAAGGGTTATCAATCCAAAATGGAAAAACTTGTCACTCTATGAGAATATGAAACAACCAGGAGGTCAGGCAAGCAGTAATAGATTTTTGGTAACACTAACAACCTAAATGAAACAGAAATGAAATGTAGAAAGTAAATAAAGCGATGAAGTAACAACTCGACCAAGAACTCGAGTCGAGTCAGAACAAAGTACCAGCTCGATCGAGTTTGGGGACGAGTTGAGACAAAAAGCGATAAAGGTAACGACTTTAACAAGATAATGCGAGAATTAGGGTTCAAGACAGGGTTTTGCAATCAGAGGAAACTACACTTAATCCATCCAGCTCTTAAAACTCCTTGTATCAAGGCTTCTCTTGATATTGGGCTTCTCAATGCCTAACCAACCCTTTCCCAAGGTGAAGGTTATCAACCAAGGAATGATCTCAGAAACAGGGTTCATATAAATAGGGAAATGCATCAAATCACAGCAATGGTTGAATGAGATGTGCATGCAGTGATATGATCAAGATAAACATGGTTCTTGCTGCTCAATCAATCTCACCCTAATGCACAAAAGAATCTAAAAACAGGGCACTCAAGAAATCGCAAAAGATGGACAAGTTTTCAAAGTCAAATCAACAATGCAAGTGAAAAATGCAATCCTAAACAAGTCTAACAAATATGAATGCAAAAAGATGAAAATATTTTTGGATTTTTTGAAAATTTTATGATTTTTTTGGTTTTTCTATGCAAAAGATAAATGAAAAACTAAGAACAAAGAAAACAAGGTTAAATCATCTCTTGAACCCTCCCCCAAACTTAAATCACACAGTCCCTTGTGTGAGAAAAATTTAGTGAAAGATTCAAGAGGGCAAAACCAAGAAAAAACAAGAACAAATGCAAGAAAATATGAAATGGTATATACAAGGGTTGGTGTTTGGATACCTCAGTGCCCCCCAAAGAACTGGGAGGCTAGGTCGTGGTCTGGAGATGGTAGACGGCCATCAGGAGCGCTCCACTCGACTGGGTTCGGCTCACTCGATCGAGCTTGCGGCTCCTCCTCTTCTTCTTCTTCATCTTCAAAGTGGGTGTGGCTTCCTTGGCCTTGGAGGAGTTGCGCTTGCTCGAAGCGGTTGTAGGGAGTCCAGAGAGTCTGGGAGAAGTCCTGGTACTGGTTGATCGTACTCGAATCCGGTTCTCAAACAGGGGCTCCTCCAGGTCAACTCGACCCTCAGCTCGATCGAGTTGAGTTTCCTCTGTTTGGACTCGATCGAGTCCGGTGGTCGAGCTGGAGCGTCTGGCCTTAGAGCTCTTCCTCCTTCTCTGCGAGTTGTCTTCCCTTCCCTTGGCTCGAAATGAAGAGGCTCTGTGAGGTTCTTGGGCAGGGAGCCTCCTTTGGAGTGGTGAGGAGTGATCTACTCCTAGGAAGTGGGGCCTTGGACTTCTTCTTCTTGCTTGAAGAACCAGAAACTTTCTTCTCCAAGCTTTTGATCTTGCTCACCATCTTGTCCATGGACTTTTGCATCTTTTCCATGGCTTTCCCTTGCCACTTGTTGAACCTTTGGAGAAGTCCAATCCTCTTGTGGGCAGCCACAACAGAGGGGTTCATCCTTGGAGCCTCATACTCCTCAAAGTAGTAGCACTCAGGCTCACCCAGATCCGCATTCACATGGTGTTGTCCTCAGCTCGATCCTCAGCTCGATCGAGTTCAGGCTCTTCTTCTCGAAAATCCTCTTCATGGCAAACTGATGATAGGATTTGTGTGTGATGTGAAATGATATGAAATGAGATGTGGTGGAATGCAACAGTGGTGAATATGAAGATGAGATGGTACAATCACAATCAATCAATTCCTCTTAACCATCATAGTCATTGAAGTATAAGAGGTTATCAATCCATAAGGGTGAGATGTTGCTCTATGAGAATATGCAAACACAAGAAAGTCAAGCCAAATGATTAAAAGGAGGGATGTAACAACTAAACAACCTAATATGAAATGAAATGCAAGCAAAAGCAGAAATAAAAGCAAGCAGATGCAAGAGCTCGATCGAGTTGATGAGCTCGATCGAGTTGAGGGTCGAGTTGGTGTAAAAACAGAGGAAAGCAATGAAAAGCAATAAAGGTGCAAACTTTAAGATGCTAATGCGAAGATTAGGGTTAAAGACAGGGTTTTGCAGCTAAAGGGAGGCTATACTTAATCAGTCTTGCTCTTAAACAACTTGTATCAAGGTATCTCTTGATATTGAGCTTCTCAATGCCTAGCTAACCCTTTCCCAAGGTGAAAGCTATCAACCAAGACTTGATCTCAGAAACAGGGGGTTAGCCAGTGAGAATCAAGCCTTGGAGGCCATAGGATCATTGCTCAAACTAATCCATCCAACCCCTATGAACTCCATTTCGAGAGCAAGAGTTATTGGAGCTCTTAGTGGACCTTTTCCAACGATTTCCATCACTTCCATGTGGAGAATCGCCTATGGACATACAAGCCAGGGATAGTGGTCATGTAGCCTTAAGGTTTGTCCAAAAGAGAGAGATTTCTAGATTAAGAACATAAGCAAGAAGGATTAAGCATAAACAACCTCTAACCTATCCCATCTTAAGCCCTAAAGGGAACTACTCACTACACATGATGAAATAAACAACCAAATGCAATGAAAGACATCAAAAGATAGAGGAGATAAATATAAACAACTTTTATTGAAATAGAGAAGTGCAAAACACAATAAAAGCCTAGATCTAGGTTCTATGAGCAAGAGCTCAAGAACACAAAGAGAGGCTAAAAAGTAAAAAGGGAAATGCAAATACAAGATTAATTAAAAGTTGAGCAAAAGCTATGTTTAATTCGTGGCTCAATGCCATTTATAGTAAAGCAAACTAGGTTTAGGGTCAAAGGGGAGTCAAAGGGAAGCAACATTTTTCGGGTTTGACTTTGACTCCTGGAAAAGCAGCTCGATCGAGTTGGAAACTGGCCGGTCGAGCTGGTGGGTCGAGTCCAACCAATATCGTCGTATCTTCTGAACCGCTGGTCCGAATGACATGAAACCACCTCCAGACGAAAGCTAACTCAATTATCCACAACTTCCAAGAAGAAGTCAGAGGCTGAATCGGAGTGGAAACCCTTCATTTGATACGATACTTCGGACGCATCTCACTAGCTCGACCGAGTGCGGGTCCGTACATGGGGCAGACAGAGTCTTTCCTTCCTCAACTAGTCTCCAGTGATAGGCAATGTTCCAATTAGCTCCAAATGACCTGATTAAGACATCAAACGTGCACATGTATGCAAATGCAAGCCTAAAACTACTATGTATGCAAAAGAAGGGAAAACATCAAGAAATGATGCTTTGGGTGAATGAAACTATGCAAAAGATGCATAAAAGAAGGGCTAAAACCATGTAAAATGCAAGTACATCAACACCCCCAAACTTGACCTTTGCTTGCCCTCAAGCAAACAAATAGAACAAGAAAGGATGAGGTTTGAAAACAATTGATTCAACCTTAAAACATGTCCTCAAAAGCGATTTGCTAAATGTCCAACTTAGAGATTCTAGAATGCAACAAGGTGAGAGATATTCATTAAGATTTAACCATGCTTATCAACATCAATCCCACTTCACAGTCACTCAAACAATGCATTCAAATCAGCAAATCCCTTTAACATTCATTAAGCAAAAACAGTGAACCAAAAACATGCAAGATCAATCAACTCATTTGGTTTCAAGGGTTTATGGGTTAAGAGACAAAGAGGGTCTCTTTTGTATGGTGGTTTAGTAACAGGGATCTCTCAAGAAAGTGGCTTTGCTTTGGCAGAAGGCTAAGTGTTAGAACCAAAGATGATGCAAGACAGCAACTCGAGCCGCCTAATCCTAACTCGATCGAGTTCAACACTTAGAGCTTTTTAGAACAAAATCCTAACTACCCTTTTTGGCATTTCGCCTTTGAAACTGAGGAGCTTTGCTCACTTTTCTTTTAAGAACATCCTAGGGAGAGGCTTCTTGAGGTAACATCTAGCGGTTTGGGATTTTCTAAACACTTAGGGAACTTTTCTTTCTTTTTGACACTTGAGGCTTTGCCTTCTTTTCTTTCTACTTAGAACCCTTTTTACTTTCTTTTTTAACTTCCCAAACCTTTACTAGACCCTTTTTAACACTGCCAACTCCCTGGACTTAACTAAACTCTTTTTCCTTTGGATTTTCCCAACTTTTACCACTTTTCTGGTTTTTACACCCAACTCGATCGAGCTCGAGTTGGCACCCCCAAACTTAGCCTGAAAACAATCCCAAGAGAACTAGACAACTAGAACTACTGCCCCTGCCGGTTTAAACACAACACCTTATGCTAAGCAAAGCCAAGAAAGGTTCTCACAATCGCACAAGAGATAATATGGGGTTTGAAATGAAAAAGGCTTAGGTTTAAGGTGTGGTAACTGTCTCAAAGATGGAGATCAGCTATCTGGACAAGCAAGAGGGATATGAAAATAGGTAAAGAATGTCCAGATATGTATGTGGTAGCCATGAGTTGAAATCAAATGCAAGCATTGGTAATTAAAGATCAAGTTATGGTTCAAATAGATAGGGAAATGCATCAAATCACAGCAATGGTTGAATGAGATGTGCATGCAGTGATATGATCAAGATAAACATGGTTCTTGCTGCTCAATCAATCTCACCCTAATGCACAAGAGAATCTAGAAATGGGCACTCAAGAAATCGCAAATGATGACAAGTTTTCAAGATCAAATCAACAATGCAAATGAAAGATGCAATCCTAAACAATTCTAAGAATATGAATGCAAAAAGATGAAAATATTTTTGTATTTTTGAAAATTTTATGATTTTTTTGGTTTTTCTATGCAAATGATGAATGAAAAACTAAGAACAGAATAAACAAGGTTAAATCATCTCTTGAACCCTCCCCCAAACTTAAATCACACAGTCCCTTGTGTGAAAGAAGTTCAAAGAAAGATTCAAGAGGGAAAAACAAAGAAAAATGCATGAAAATGAGATGGTATGTACAAGGGAAGTGTTTGATACCTTAGTGCTCCCCAAAGAACTGGGAAGCAAGGTCATGAGTTGGAGAGGGCAGGAGACAATAGCATCATAACGGCATCAATCGCCAAAATAGGTTGGTGGGATTGGGCTCGATCGAGTCTGTGGCTCGAGTCAGAATAGCTTCCCTTTTGAACTAACTCCTGCAAGCCTTAGACAGAAACAACTACAAAGAACTTAAATGAAAGCATTATATACAAGATAGACATGGGAATTCCTCCCAAGTGAGCTTGTTTTAGGTCGCATAGCTTGACCTTTTACCTTTTAGGCATGAATGAGAGCGGTCCCGCCATCAAATGTGACAGTAAGGACTGAAGATAGGAGCTCCTTGAGCTTGGTTTGATCTTTTTGCAGCTCAGGACTGACCAAGGCATTGATACTGGAAAACGGTTTAGACTTTCTCTTGCACTTGATCTTGTACTCAATCTTCCCATTTGTGAACTTGGATGGCAACAGAGTCAGGGTAAGCTGGGATGGAGCGCTTGAGAGAGTCTGAGGCGTGATCATCTTTCTTTTATGTCCAGGAGACGCCTTCAAAGCCATACCCTCCCCATCTTTTTGAGCACTTCCTAGCTGCTCACTAAACAAAACTGCAAGACCCATCTCATCCAGAACACAAGGTTCACAAATAACTGGCTCTGTGCTGCTCTCAGTCATTATCTCCATCTTTTCAACCTCAGCAAACTCATCACCCTTGATGCTCAGTGACTTAGTGGCAATGGTTCCACAATATTTAGAGCTTGATGCCTTGAGAGGGTAAGAGACTTTGCTGTTGACATTGTGCAGGATCACTTTCTTTGTATGGAAATCAATGGAGGCACCAACAGTGGTGAGGAAAGGTGTCCCTAAGATCAATGGCACATCCTTCTCGTCAACCATATCCAGAACTGTTAGATCAATTGGGATTGTGCACTCTCCAATTCTCAAAGGGAAATCCATGACAATACCAAGTGGGGCTTTAGAAGAAGCATCCCCAAACATGATAGAAGACTTAGGTCGCTGGATCAGACTCTGTATACCCAATTTCTGTATTAGAACAAGAGAGATCAGATTGATACTTGCTCCAGAATCAACAAGTGCATCCTCAAGTTGTAGGTGACCAAGTGTACAAGGCAGAGTGAAGCTTCCCTGACCATTCAGCTTGGGTAGTGAGGTTGGTGTGGATAAGAGATCACCCTGGGAAGAAGAGGGCTCCAAAAGCTGAGCTACTTCGTCCTTGTTATCAAGTATGTCCTTAATCATCTTCTTTTGGACATGAGCAGCTTGAAAACTTCCCATATTTGGTAGCTCAACCCCAATCTTACTCATGTCATTCCTAAACTTGGTGATGACTTTTTTCTGATTCTTGGTAAGGATTCTACTTGGAAATGGAACAGGGGGCTTGTAGGTGTCATCATCAGATGGTGTTGGAGCATAAAGCATCTGACTCGATCGAGCTGGTGAGACGGTCTGGCTCGATCGAGCTGCCAATCGAGCTTGTTGTGCGAGCTCAACCGGTGAAGCGTGGATAGCTATCTGAGGAGCTTGCACTTCAGGTTGAGCGTACTGGACTCCAGGAGCATCAGCAACAACATTGTCTTCATTATTAAGCAGCATACAGATCTCCTCAATATCCTTCTCATTAGCAGCTTGTTGATCAAATCCTTCCTCTTGAGTGAAGATCGCTCTACAATGCTCCTTTGGATTCTGAACAGCCTTTCCAGGAAATTGACCTTGCTTAGCAGCAGAAGAAGAAGCATGGTGTTCCAAAGAGTGAACTCTAGTGTTCAAGGATTCAATCTTAGAGTTCATCTCAGCCAACTTCTTGCTTATCTCCATAGCACCATCTGCTTGACCTTGTAAGAGCTGCTTCAACATGGCTTTTATTTCTTGTTCCTGACTTGGTGAAGCCTGAGGCGCTTGAGGTGCATACCCAGTTGGTACACTCTGCTGTTGTCCTTGATAATTTCCCTGATGGCCCTGGAAATTCCCTTTCTGGCCATATCCTTGCTGTGGAGGCTGACTCGCTGGAGCCTGTTGCTGCGGAGGGTAGACTTGATCTTGAGGATTGGCAACATCAGTGTTACTGTAGGACATGGTAGGGTGTGACTTGTAGCCATAGTAACCGTTTTGATAACCTCCTTGTCCATTCTTAATGTAGCACACTTCAGCAAACTGATTCTCCTCCTCTTCTTGGCCTTGAACCATCTCTTCTTTAGAAACAAAGTTGGCCTTCTTCATTGTGGATTGAGCTAAGATAAGCGTATCCAACTTCTCATTGAGTGCCTTGACATCGTTTCTCAGCTTACTATCAGACTCGATCGAGTTGGAGGTCGAGCTCCTGTTTGTGCGATCATACTCCTCTCCATAGCTCCCACTTGAGTTAGCAATGTTCTCCACAAGCTGCCAGCCATCATCTACATCTTGATTGAGGAAGTTTCCATTACTGGCTGTGTCCAACATCTCTTTGTATCTTGGCAAAACTCCTCTGTAAAGTGTGGAAAGCAAAGACTCATTGCTGAAGCCATGATGAGGGCATTGACTGGTGTAACCCTTGAATCTCTCCCAAGCTTCAGCAAATGTCTCATTGTTCCTTTGAGTGAAACCAGATATCTCGCTTCTCAGCTTAGCAGTGCGACCAGTAGAGAAGAACTTGGCAAGAAATGCCTTCTTGCAATCCTCCCATGTAGTGATTGATCCATGGGGTAAACTCTTCTCCCATTGATGGGCCTTGTCACCAAGAGACATAGGGAAGAGTCTCAGCTTGATGGCATCTTCAGAGACACCATTCATCTTGGTCAGATCACACAGCCTATCAAACTCATCCAAGTGATCAATGGGATCTTCACAAGACAATCCATGGAACATCTTGTTCTGGACTAAGGTAATCATCCCCAGCTTGATCTCGAAATTGTGGTTCTGGACAGGAGGTGGGACAATCCCTCTTCTTTGCTGGTGGCGGTTTGGTGCATCTCCAAGCCCAATCGGTCGAGTCTGCCTAGCTCGACCATTTCCATTACCCAGAGGGTTTCCATTACCCTCTGGTATATCCATAGTATCTGTAACAAGCACCTCTGACTGAACTTGTTGCCTCTGGCTCTTCTTTCTCTGTTTTCTGCCGTCTAACTCGACCAAGTTCTCTGTTGATGAGCTCGATCGAGTTCACATACACCTGCAAAACAGTCAAAAACCCAGCAGTACAAGCAACAAAGGTGGGATAGTACTTGATCGTTCAAGTGATTTGGAAACTCAAATGCAACAGTAACAAACCCAAATGGCAACGGCGCCAAATTGATGATAGGATTTTGTGTGGATGTGAAATGATATGAAATGAGAGGTGGAATGCAACAGGGGTGAATGAAGATGAGATGGTATGGTGCAATCACAATCAATCAATTCCTCTTAACCATCATAGTCATTGAAGTATAAGAGGTTATCAATCCATAAGGGTGAGATGTTGCTCTATGAGAATATGCAAACACAAGAAAGTCAAGCCAAATGATTAAAAGGAGGGATGTAACAACTAAACAACCTAATATGAAATGCAATGCAAGTAAAAGAAAGCAGCTAAATGCAAGAAATTAACAAGAACAAGCAGATGCGAGCTCGACCAAGAGCTCGATCGAGTTGATGAGCTCGATCGAGTTGAGGGTCGAGTTGGTGTAAAAACAGAGGAAATGCAATGAAAAGCGATAAAGGTGCAAACTTTAAGATGCTAATGCGAATATTAGGGTTAAAGACAGGGTTTTGCAGCTAAAGGGAGGCTATACTTAATCAGTCTTGCTCTTAAACAACTTGTATCAAGGTATCTCTTGATATTGAGCTTCTCAATGCCTAGCTAACCCTTTCCCAAGGTGAAAGCTATCAACCAAGACTTGATCTCAGAAACAGGGGGTTAGCCAGTGAGAATCAAGCCTTGGAGGCCATAGGATCATTGCTCAAACTAATCCATCCAACCCCTATGAACTCCATTTCGAGAGCAAGAGTTATTGGAGCTCTTAGTGGACCTTTTCCAACGATTTCCATCACTTCCATGTGGAGAATCGCCTATGGACATACAAGCCAGGGATAGTGGTCATGTAGCCTTAAGGTTTGTCCAAAAGAGAGAGATTTCTAGATTAAGAACATAAGCAAGAAGGATTAAGCATAAACAACCTCTAACCTATCCCATCTTAAGCCCTAAAGGGAACTACTCACTACACATGGTGAAATAAACAACCAAATGCAATGAATGAACATCAAAAGATAGAGGAGATGATATAAACAACTTTTATTGAAATAGAGAAGTGCAAAATACAATAATAAAGCCTAGATCTAGGTTCTATGAGCAAGAGCTCAAGAACACAAAGAGAGGCTAAAAAGTAAAAAGGGAAATGCAAATACAAGATTAAATAAAAGTTGAGCAAAAGCTATGTTTAATTCGTGGCTCAATGCCATTTATAGTAAAGCAAACTAGGTTTAGGGTCAAAGGGGAGTCAAAGGGAAGCAACATTTTTCGGGTTTGACTTTGACTCCTGGAAAAGCAGCTCGATCGAGTTGGAAACTGGCCGGTCGAGCTGGTGGGTCGAGTCCAACCAATATCGTCGTATCTTCTGAACCGCTGGTCCGAATGACATGAAACCACCTCCAGACGAAAGCTAACTCAATTATCCACAACTTCCAAGAAGAAGTCAGAGGCTGAATCGGAGTGGAAACCCTTCATTTGATACGATACTTCGGACGCATCTCACTAGCTCGACCGAGTGCGGGTCCGTACATGGGGCAGACAGAGTCTTTCCTTCCTCAACTAGTCTCCAGTGATAGGCAATGTTCCAATTAGCTCCAAATGACCTGATTAAGACATCAAACGTGCACATGTATGCAAATGCAAGCCTAAAACTACTATGTATGCAAAAGAAGGGAAAACATCAAGAAATGATGCTTGGGTGAATGAAACTATGCAAAAGATGCATAAAAGAAGGGCTAAAACCATGTAAAATGCAAGTACATCACCAACTAATGTGTAAAGTGGGGGGCTGAAGTCAATGTTGGTACCTCCTAGAACCGTGGTGAGCTCAGGGTTGGGTAGAAGAAGCTTGGAGGGGCCAGCCAAAGGGTGAGTGAATTTGAATTGGAACCTCCCATCCAACTCCTTGTGTTCAATGAAGAGATTGGTCTTGCAAAACTTAATATCCATCCACCCTGCTGGAGTAGACCTTCTCTTTTCCAAATGGACTCCAGCTGCACAGAGGATAGGCGTGATGACTCCTCCAACACTAAGCTTCCTTCCCGTTTGAAACCGAGTGCTATAGGCGGTTGTCTTGTAGGAGAGTAGCTGGGCAATGAGAGGCATGAGGTTCCCCGCATGGATTCTATCTCCCCTGATCTTCTTCCCATCCTTGGTGCGTGAGATGATGGGCTTGATTCCCATGTCAAGGAGCTTCACTTCTCCCTCATTTATTGTCCCAGTCGCCTTTCTTGCATAGAAGGTGTTGGCGAGAGCCTTGTGCACATATCTCAACACTGGGCTCCTGATTTGAGCTACCTTAGACCGTGAGGAAGAGTATACTCCATCAGCGATTGTAGCCCAAACCCCTTTGTAGCTCATCCTCCTTGATATCCCAATGGGTTCCCTCCCATAAGTGAAACCGAAAAGGATCTCCAACTGTCTGAAGGTTACTGCCTTCCTTTCTCCTCTTGCCAAGAACGTGATCCATCCCCAACCTTGATCCAACTCAGCTCGATCGAGCTGCCTGTACTTGTGGAACCTCATTGATGCCAAGAACTCACAAGTGAGCTCCTTGTATGACTCCAAGCGGTAAGAGAAAAACTTGGCCAAGCACATGTTTTTGGGGACCAGCTCCACATCATCAAAGATCCCAAGAGCCCTCATTGTGTCATCATGTGGATACTTGGTCTCCACAAAGTCCATGGAGAAGAGAGCATCATAATGCTCTTGGTACATGGGGAGCTCATCCTCTTCTTCCTCTGACTCCTCCTCTTCCATGGGCACATTCTCATTGCTCTCATGCTCACTCTCCTCAATCTCTTGATTGACCTCCTCACCCTCTTCTTCACTTGGGGACTCATCATCCTCCTCATGTGGGATGTTCACCCCAATTTCAAACTCTCCTACTTCGCTCTCACTGCTGATAGGATCATTCCTTCTCTTGGTTCTTCTCTCTTCCCTAACCATCTTGAGTATCCTCCTTGCTCCTCTTGTTACCTCCCTCTTTGGAATGCTGGCTTGCTTCCTTCACCTCTCAACATCTTAAAACGGTTGCTTCTTGAAGTTGGGTTCCTGAAATGCATCAAAAACTCAAGGTATTAGAGTTGTAATCGTTGGTTCGGCCGACTCGACACCCAACTCGATCGAGTAAAAAAACTCGAGTGACAAACTCGATCGAGTCAAGTGAGAACAGAGTATAACCGGACCGAAATCAAACAATAAGAGCTGGAAAAGGTGCTTGACAATCAAATTGAACCAATAACAACAGGTATTTGGAACAATGGGCAATTCTAGTGAAGCACTAGGCAACTTAACCAATACCAAACTCAAATTCAAAATTTCAAGCACATGCTACAAGTTCTAATGATAAAACAGAGGTGAGGTGAGGCAAATTCACAAGATTGAATTTCATGACCAAATCGGTCCCAGAGGCTAAGCTTGAATCATCTTTGGATTATACATACTTGAATCATCTTTGCATTATTGTTCATCCTTCTTTGTTGATTCAAGTAGAACTCCCTGCCCTTAACCAACCCTTCCTTTCAAACCAAATGTTGTTCTTGTGTGTTGTGAGGCCTTTTGGAAAAAGCTTGGCATAAAGTGTTAGGTCTTGAGCCGACAAGGATAGGTGATCATGTAGATTCTGGTCCACGCTTTTTGGGCCAGACTAGGTTAGGACTTGGGTTTGGGAATGTCTTGGGGTGATTCAAAAAGAAAAAGAAAGAAAGAGCTTGTAAGCAAAAAGAAAAGAGGCGTTTTAGCTAAGGTAGATTGAGCTTGGTCTGTGAGTTTAAGAAAGCCCCCATCAGAAAATAAAAAAAAAAAAAAAAAAAAAGAGTTTCAAAAGGAAAAGATGGGTTAGGGCAAGAGTTTAGACCAAGTCTCTCGAGTTTGTCTTTCAAAAAGCCTTAGAAAAATTCGCTAAAAGTTTCAAAAGCTCTAAGAAAAGGAAGAAAAACCCAAAGGGAAAAGGGTAGAAATAGGAAGTTTCGGATTTGAGAGTCACCAAAAGGTACTTGGGGTTTCGGGTAGATGATCATTTGTCCTTGTACCTCCCAATTGGTTCTCGCCTTTAGCATTATGCCGAAGCTGTTTCACTTCTTTTGAGAGAACCCTTCCTTTGTCATTTGACATGAGCTTGCATTGTGATTTGCTCTCTCTCTTTCCACTGGCCAAACGAGTTAACTTGACTTGCATGTGTTTTGATTCACTGTTTTGAGCTTTAATGAATGTTAAAAGGAGTAGAGGATTTGAATGCATGTTTAGGTTGAGCTAGTTGTCATTGATTGTGATTATGAAGGTGCGGCTAAGATTTTTGAAGTAGAGAACATCTTTTGCGCTTTAGACCTTGGAACTAGGTTGTTGATTCAATTTCTCTTCTCGGCTTTCACTTGACTCTATTGCTCAGAGAACACTCTTATGCTTGGTTGATGTTTGCTTGAGGGCAAGCAAAGACTAAGTGTGGGGGTGTTGATGTACTCAACATTTGCATACATTTAGCCTCTCATACTGCATAGTTCTGTGTATAATTGAGTCCCATTTCATAACATTTAGTGTAGCTTTAGTCTACTTAGGATCATTTAGCCTTTAGGATAGCATTTTGCATTTCCATTGCATTTGGGGTGCATTTATCAGGTATTCGGAGCTTATGGCGAAGGAGGGACCGGAGGTGATGATCGGAGATGGACCAGAAGGAGATCGGAGTAATCGGATGGCAAAACAAGCAAGACGGAACAGAGCCTTGAGCAAAAGGAAACAGAGTGCTTGAGGAAGTTGCTCAAGCTGCGCGCATCTGTGAAGTCAAAGCAAAAACGTTGACCAAAGGATACACTTTTCCCTTCTCTATATAAACCTTTAAGACCTAATTTTAGGCAATCTTTATCTTGTAACCAGTTTCTCTCCAAGAAAAACAGTTTGTTCTTGGAGATCTTTTGTAAGCTTTTACTTTGAATCTTTTAAGTTTAAGAAGTACTTAGTTTGCTAATCTTGTCTTAATGATGATTTCTAGCTTTCTTTACCTCTTTGCTTTCGGTTCGAGTATGAGTAGCGAGTAGTTCTTTAGAGGTTTCGAGGGTGAGATTAGGAAAGGTCAGAGCTTTAGCTTCCTGTTAACCTCTTCCTTAATCTCCCTTGACCAGCTTTTCTTTAGCTAGAGCTTTATATCTCGGCTTCTTCTTGATCACTTGAAGTCGCGAATCTAGGCTAGTACACCTAGAAGGTGTTTGCGTTAATGCCTAAGAGAGCTAGCGATAGAGAGAAACATTCCCAACCTAAGAGATTGGTTGTTGGGATGTATCTTGTGCACTTTTAGACTAGATCTTGTGAAAGCTTGTAACTTTGAGTCCACTAGTGAGAGCTAGCTTTGGATTCTCAGCTTGCAAAGCGATCTGACCACGAGAGTGGCGGATTTACCCAAAGTCTAAGCACAAAGCTTGAGTCTTGGTGTGTTGAGAAAGGAAGGTTGAGCTCGTTTGATCCCAACTAAGTCTCACCCAAGACGCCTCCTTTATCTTTTATTGTTAAAGTTTAAATCTTTATTTCATCTTGTTAGCTTAAAGCATAGATCTTTACAAAACAAAACCCAATCTTTTATCAAACTTGATCTTTGCCTTTTCTTTATTTCGATAGTTTAAATCTCCACTTGGATTGACATCTCAAGTACTACAATGACATGAGTGGTATGGATTGAGAGTAGTTGATACAAAAATCCTACTTATCAGCGGGTCAGGTTGGTGACATTTCCAACGACGTTCTTGAGAGTGTCCCACAGCTCCTTGGCCTTCTCACAGAATGAGTAAGCTTCAAGAACCGATACGTCAAGAGCGCTTTGAAGAATGGCAAGAACGGCCTGATCCTCTTGAAACCATTTACTTTCCTCGGCCAAGACAACGGCTTGAGTAGCGGCGGCTGGAGGAGGAACGATGGTGTCGTGCTCGATGTGAGGCCACAGACCTCGGCCACACAAGACGGCTTTAGCCGTTCTGGACCACAAGAGATAGTTGTCTCCTCCCTTGAGAATCACCGGAAGTACGACTGACTTGTTGTGCTCCATTTGACGTTTGAGAGCTTGATTGGAGAATCTTTTTCCGCTGGACAATAGAGTGTACCCACCGAGAAGTTATGGACCGCTGGGTAAAGAGTTTCACCGGGGAACGTTCTAGAGCGGCACGTGAGTGCTGTTTGACTGAGCTGCTTCGGACCGCTAGATAATAGGGTGTACCCTCCGTGGAACTATGGACCGCTGGACAAAAGATTCTCGGAGAAATGAAATAACTCGGTGCGTGAGTGAGAGTTGACTGAAATGCTATGGATCGCTGGACAATAGGGTGGACCGGTCGTGAGAACAAGGTTATCCACCAGATAATAGAGTGAATCACCGGAGTTCTTGAGAACAAAGAAGAATCTGGGAAGAACGAAGAACAAGTCTCACAACGAGAAACCGAATGAAACAGTTGAATAAAAGGCTCAAGAACTGAGCAAAGAAAAGCTTGCACTTGCAAGAACAAAAACAGAATAAGATCGAAGAGCTTACCTCTCTGATACCATGTAAGATTTTAGAAAAACACTTTTAAGAACTTGTGAATGATTTGAGTGGAATGAAAGAGAGAGATGGAGCGATAAGAGAGAAAGAGTTTCTTGAAATAAGAATGATTTTATTTCCAAAAGTTAATCTTTACAAAGGTAGATACAATGCTATTTATAGACAAGTCAACAAAGAGAATAAACAATAAAGAATAGTGTTCAACGGTCGAGAGAGATAACGACGTGAGGAGACAGTCAAGGCTGGGTTGGTTTTAAGACGGAGAGCAGGACCGGCGTTGAGGCAAGCCAAGTGAGGCTTTTGGTTTGGCCCCCACATTTTTGTTAAGAAAATTTGTATAGATTTTGGCCTCAAAATGAAAAAAAAATCAATTTTTAGCCCCAAAATTCATCAAAACCTTACTAAATTATTCTGACCCCCCATTTTTCAGAGCCGGCCCTGACGGAGAGTGACTTGCCTTGAACGGTCAAGTGTACAAGGAACCCGTGACTTCTTCTTCTCTTCATTCTTTCTTTTGTCAACGTAAACCTTAGGTAAGTTGACAAGAATCTCAAGAAGCATCTTAATGGAATCTTCTCTTGATTAATACGTTTGACGGTTTAGTTTTGATAGTTTTAGTAAAGAGACACAAGTGTGAAGTGACACAACTCTTGTGTTGTTGTGTCTGTTTGTGATCTATAAAAACCATTGTTGTTGTAATGTAAACAATCAAGTTTCAGAGTAATAAACAAAATTCCTCGTAATTGTTCTTCTTCACAAGATAAGAGATAAACTTATCTCTTACTCTGTTTTTGTCTAATTCTTTCTCTCTCTGTTCTGTAAAAACAAATTCAGCACTACCCACCTTCAAATCAAATTGCTCTTACCATTTGCAAGTTCTCCACGTATTGGCTTTTCTAATTTTCAGCAAAACTCACATGTAAAACTCTTAACTCACTCTGTACAGTCTTATTTCTCATAAATATTAACCCACAAAAAAAAAGCAGATCAGTAGCTACTGTTATGCCCAAGTATTTTTTTCCAGCAACATATCAGTCACACAAGCAGAACCAAAAGTGAATTCAACATCATTGTAATCTCTGACAAAACTATTATCACTCCATAGATACTGACTGAATCAAACTATCAATTCGAAATAAAATCATTAGAAGTGAAAGCCCAAAATAAAATTTAGATATCTTTGAATCAAAACAAAACCCAAAAAGCTTGGATTAGATCGATAGATGAAACCGCTAAACGCAGGTTTTTTCTTTTATATCAATTTAAAGATGTTTGTCTATTTGCGATTGTATCCGAGAAATGTTATTAATGTCTTAGAGTAACGTGTTTATACCGTTCAAGTACTAAAATTGATTGTTTGAATTGTTGTGCTAAATCTCATTTTTTGCGACTTTCTCTATGTAAACAATGTTCCCCTATTTTGGTTGATTTGTTGGTGGCGTCCATGGAGATGTGATTTGAGAGGAGGCTAAACAATGTTTTGATTATTTTAACCTATTACAAAAATGTAAAAATAGCATATTTCTTGCTTTGATGTTTTTGCAGAATAATATAGAGTAATTTATACATTTTTAGAGATCACGTAATCATGCTAGGAAACAATATCAAACGTCATGGCAAAAATACTTTACTCCTTATCACGCAAAGAAACTTCTGACATACAAAAAAAAAACACACACACACAAATTCTGTCAAAAAGTATAATGAAGGAACAACAAACTTTTGGCTATGGGTGAAAATAGTTTTAATGAGGATGACCAGTCTTATCTTGTTTAAATATTAACGATGGTTTCATCCGCAACTAATTATACATTTCTCACCAGCATTGTTAGATCCGAGATAGCACTCGTCAAGACGGGCTATCAAAGATGTGAGTTTAGGAAACTGGAATGCTTAATTCGACTCTTAGATTATCAAGAAAGTTACAAGGAAGTAATCTCGCTAACAAGCCTAGCGAGATTATAGTGATGAACAAGAGGAGAGAGTAAAAGCGGGTGTAAAGGCCTAGTGATTCTAGATGATTTCGGATGCCCCTTTTCCCCAATGGGGGTCTTCAATATATAGTGTTGATAACTCGGCCGAATGATGAATATTCTTCTTCGGGCGAGATGGAAAACTTCCTCTTTTGCGATATGGAAAACTTCCTCTTGTTCTTGATCTCCTTCCATTCTTTAAGTCGGCATGAAGATTTATTTACATTTCTCCATGGATTGTGCCTTCCTTCTCAAGTCTTGCCTTTTTATTGAGGAAGTTAGGCCTAAAGTTGGATTGGGCTTTGTGACTTTACTAATGATGACGGGCTCAGGGAAATGTGCTAATTTCTCCTCTAACAATAAGTCCCCCCGCCAGCTCGGCAAGTCAAATGCAGTTTGATCTCGGCGAGCTTCATGAATAGAGGATGAGCTTAAGAATCATTAGTAAAATACACATTCCAATCGGATTTTAGTGCCTATGGTGCATGCTGAATGTAGATTCGTGCCGCCTCATTAAAACCTTGGTACGGAAAAACCCAACTGGGACAAAAACCATAAAAAGGAAAAAGAGTGCGTTGACTTTTGCCGAGACCAAAAATGCTTCCTTGGTTTGAATACTTTGACGAGCTCGGTTTTTATCTGTGACTGGGCGATTTTGCCACGTCATTGCCCAGGTGGACTTATTTGCAATTGCGTGGGCTGAGTCCGATAGTCGATTAAATCGCGCAGAAGCCCAAGCCCATTAATCCCCTTTTCCCTTGAGCGGGAAAGAAATGAATTAAAAATTCATAAG